TGAAGGAGAAGGTACAATTGGGGAAAATAGGCCAAAAAATCAAATTTCCATAGATTTGCAGTATGACTTGAATGTTGAATCTATGTTCTTTAATATTACATTGATATTTTGTTAAAAATATTTGCTTTGTATAGATAATAAAGCAATGAAAAGACAGTTTCAATAAAAAGTTGATTTTAACAAAAAATTTGACAATTTGACTCACAAATATAATTATGATGCACAAATCTCCTCTTAAAAATGTTTCACAATGGAAGAATATTTTGTTTTTATTTACTTGATGATAAACATGCATATTTGTATAATATACCTTTTTTGTTATAGGTTAATATAACAGGTTATAAATTTAACATAAAATGGTATGCATTTTTTCCCCTGTAAATGTAGAGAGACAAATAAAGCCCAAAATGTATCTTGTATTCAAGTAATTTTTAACAAATCTCACAGCTGACCACTACATTAATTTCTTAAATTACAGTTACAAATCATGTCATCCACATAATTTTATTTTACAATCATGTATCAAAAAGAAAACAAATAGTATACAAAGAATTGATTTAACATAGTCTTGTTTAATTTCTTAATTTTAATAAAAACAAAATATATAATATTTACAAAACAATTGGAATGTACCTCTGTAAACTAAACATAATTAAAGTACAAAGACAAAAATAAACTATTAAGACAAAAACAAATACTTTAAATCTATTATTATTTCACGAATATGAGTAACTATATATATCATTCTACTTTTTTTCAGAAAAAACATGGACAATTTCAACATGTTCAATGACTGAACAATTCACAAAAAAAAAAAAAAAAACATTTTGAGTTAAAGTGCAAAAATAATAAAAATTTTGCCCAAAAAAAAGTATTGATGTCAAAATCTTTTTTTTTTTCTGATATCTTTTGCTTAAAAAAATCATTTATCATCCCTAAATGCAGGGACTCAAAGTTGTCCCTTAGCATTACAAATTAATCGATGAAATAATTATAAAATAGACATAGAAAATGTCTTAAATGTGATATATGATATTCAATGGACTGTTGATGACAGATCTGACCTCACTTTCTAATACTAAAAGTTCATTCAATATAAGGTACAGCCTCAAAATACATTATTGGTCAAAGGAATATAGATTCAGAGTACAAATAAGGTAAGGATAAGTTGACCAGGATTTCGTTTCTCTTTCTACAGTACATACATTAATTTTGACAATCAGCAGATCAATAAAAATTAACAATTTTAACATTAACAATAAAGCTGAACAAAATTATGTGTTTTGGCAGCAATTTATACAGTCATTTCAGTAGCATACAATTTGATTTGCCTAGCAGAAGCACTACACGACTAAAGCATGTTGAAAAATGCACTGCATTACGATACAATGTTCTTGTTGCCAAATAGGTTTCTTTTTTCAGTAATAGTTCATTCCTGGTTATTCCATTAAACTGGATGTAGAAGGGTAGAATAAAGAATCTTTATTTTGGACATGGGTCATTTATTGTTGTTTGTCTACTTGATGTACAAAAATTTACACAAAGAAAGTATATTTGCTGTGTGGGAATTATGGAAGTCCCTTGCTACCCTTACACATCTAAATGGAATAGCCCTTAGTCAAGATGATTTACTGTTCAAGTCACAACTACTACAATCAAAATAGACCTTTAGCATACTATAATCTACAATGCTATAAATGTGGCTATAACTTACATGTATGTCACAAAAATAATACTTGATAATTGAGCTTCAAAAACTTGTCGTTGTAATTAAACACATTAATACTTGTTTTTTTAGAAATAACTTTATTTTAAGGGGGCATTAGCTACAATTTAAACAAACTAGAGGCTCTAAAGAGCCTGTGTCGCTCACCTTGGTCTATGTGCATATCAAACAAAGGACACAGATGGATTCATGACAAAATTGTGTTTTGGTGATGGTGATGTGTTTGTAGATCTTACTTTACTGAACATTCTTGCTCCTTATTATTATCTTTATCTATAATGAACTTGGCCCAGTAGTTACAGTGGAAAATATTATGTAAAAATTTACAAAAATTTACAAAATTTATGAAAATTGTAAAAAATTGACTATAAAGGGCAATAACTCCTTAAGGGGACAATTGACAATTTTGATCATGTTGACTTATTTGTAGATCTTACTTTGCTGTACATTATTGCCGTTTACAGTTTATCTCTATCTATAATAATATTCAAGATAATAACCAAAAGCTGCAAAATTTTCTTAAAATGACCAATTCAGGGGCAGCAACCCAACAACGTGTTGCCTGATTGGTCTGAAAATTTCAGGGCAGATAGATCTTGACCTAATGAACAATTTTATCCTCGTCAGATTTGCTCTAAATGCTTTGGTTTCAGAGATATGAGCCAAAAACTGCATTTTACCCTATGTACTATTTTTTAGCCATGTCGGCCATCTTGGTTGGTTGGCGGGGTCATCGGACACATTTTTAAAACTAGATACCCTAATGATGATTGTGGACAAGTTTGGTTAAATTTGTCTTAGTAGTTTCAGAGGAAAAGATTTTTGTAAAAGATAACAAAAATTTACGAAAAATGGTTAAAAATTGACTATAAAGGGCAATAACTCCTTAAGGGGTCAACTGACCATTTTGGTCAAGTTGACTTATTTGTAGATCTTACTTTGCTGAACATTATTGCCGTTTACAGTTTATCTCTATCTATAATAATATTCAAGATAATAACCAAAAACAGCAAAATTTCCTTAAAATTACCAATTCAGGGGCAGCAACCCAACAACGGGTTGTCCGATTCATCTGAAAATTTCAGGGCAGATAGATCTTGACCTAAAAAACAATTTTACCCCATGTCAGATTTGCTCTAAATGCTTTGGTTTCGGAGATATAAGCCAAAATCTACATTTTACCCCTATGTTCTATTTTTAGCCATGGCGACCATCTTGGTAGGTTGGCGGGGTCATCGGACACATTTTTTAAACTAGATTCTTGAATGATGATTGTGTTTAAGTTTGGGTGCATTTGACCCAGTAGTTTCAGAGGAGAAGATTTTTGTAAAAGTTTACGGACGACGGACAACGGACGCAAAGTGATGAGAAAAGCTCACTTGACCTTTCAGGTCAGGTGAGCTAAAAAATTAAAATATGAGTCTTTTTGTTTCAAGTATTAATAAAAGCAGAATTTTGAAATATTATTTCTTTATAAATAGTCAGTTTGGCCCAAATTTGTTAAAATAAACCAAAAAACATTGCTGATGTATTATTGATTTGTAAGGGAATAATTTAACCTCAATTGAATCCTTATTCATGACTTTTAATTTAACCCCTTAGCTGGAGATTGGTTATGCATGTACTAAGCGTGTTCACCTATTAAAAGGAAAACAATGTCAACATTGAAAGTGAAACAAGGGTGAACTATTTCGATGACTGATTTGATCCACCACAAAAAATCATTCTTATACTGGTAAAAAGGATGATTAACATATTTTTCAATTAATCAGAACAAAAGCAAAAGATCTTTCCATGGATTTTTTCAACTATAACATGAGATCAAACAGACCTAGAAAAATCCAATTGCTGCTATCTATTTATATCAGGTAATATGACTGTCGGCAGTCTTCGAAGGTCATCTCAATGGTTAATTAGATGGCGTCTAAACTGAAATACACATGAAATGCTGAAACATATTATCAAGGATTTGTATAGTAAGACTTACTATACAAATCATTGACATCATCGAGTCCATGCATTATTTATTGTTTATTTAAGACTTTTTGTAATTTGGATATACATTTAAATATGTTATAAATCCAATATGAGAATTTTAATCAAATCAGTTACAGTAAACATGAATTTGATAGCTAATGCCTCTTTAAAGTTCATTAAGCTGCTCTGAACTCATAGACAGCAGAATAGACCTTTGAGAAGGGGTAGAAGAAAAAGTTTTGTGGCAATTATTTTTGGTTTATCTAAATATTTTCAACAAGCAGAAAAAAAAATATATTAATTAGTTTTCGATGCAAATATATATATAGGGTACTCTTATTCTTAAGTTTCTGCTTGTACAATTGGCCATTCCCTTTAGCACTGTAATTTGAGAAGTCACACATTTTCATGCTAGACATAGCCCAACTTGTAATTCAAAGTATTGGAAAATATGGTGTAGGTGTCTGACAGTTCTTAAAAGGGCACACACCTATAGTCATTTTAATAAGTAGTACTGGAGAAAGGTGTGACAAAAATTCATAAGTTCATTCAACAGGTTAAAAAAAATTAAGCTAATATGAAGTAGGTGTTTTGACAGACAAGAAAAGTGCTAAATCTTTACAACTCATTGCTGTCAAGACATTGACCAAGTTAGTCATTTTGTTTTGAAGTTTCTAAGAATAAAGAGTGACAAAAATATTTGTAGGACAAACAGATGAGAATACTTTATTCTGAATTAAAAAAATAATTTGACAGATCTTTAAATATCTTTATGCATTATAAAATATTATTAGAAAAAACAAACTCTGACAGGTATTGTTTGACTAAATGACAAACAATTCCCTATGCTGTCAGTAGCCTGATTAAATTATACAATAATTTTATTATTTTCATTTAGAAATAAATTATCATTCATTTCATAAAGTATATGCATTTTGTAACAAATACATAATATTAAACATTAACAAGCTCATAACAACCTATTTTCTTAAAATATTAACCTCAAAAGCCAATAAAAATATCTATTTACAAGTAACATTTGTTACATTATACATTGAAATATGTCTTGGCTCAACCCCTTACAGACTGTTAATACTATTTTGATCAATTTCGTAAGTTAATCAATTACAAAATATTCTATGGAAGTCTTGATGAAGGTGTGAAGTTTTATTCTAGACAGAAGATAGATCAGTTCAATCAAGTTTTAAGACCCATTGGTGGTTTCGGCTGTTGTCTGCTCTATGGTCGGGTTGTTGTCTCTTTGACACATTCCCCATTTCCATTCTCAATTTTATATAATGAAATTGGAAAAGACTTCAGTTTACAAAAGTTAAATAATTCAAAAATATTCCTTTCATGCCTAGATACAAGAGTTAAATTTTGATTGAATTAGACAGTTGGTCGGTTTATTAAATACAAGTTAATAATTCAAGAATATTCCTTGCATGTCATGATAAATGAGTTCTGATTAGACAGTTTCCCGCTTTACAAAGGGTTCAGTATAGACATGTTTCATTGTATTACTCCTGTAAACCAGGATTTCAAAGATTTGCGAAAAATCTCTTTTCCACAAAATCCTACTTGTAACATTACAGACAATTTCTCATTGTTTTATTGAACAACAAAACCAAGCAAACTTAGGATACCACAAAACAATTCTTTCTTAATATCAGCTGTCTTTCTGTTTTATAAATTACTATCATGTAGATATGTCTGTTCTTTCATCATTCTTGATACTCCCTTGATACAAAATTTTTCTTGATTATCATCACGAATACCTAATCTTTCTGTCTATCCACTACCAATGCCAGGGAAGAAGAAGAAATGTGGCATTCTCAGTGTACTTTTATACTCTGACATTTGAGACATTTGGTCCATTTCGATCTGTGGACATCTTGATATCTTCCTTGAGACAACAGAATTCACCTGTAAAATACATGTATATATCACCTTGAAATAAAATATCATGAAAATACTACAATTTAATTTAGAAAAAAAATAAACATCCCTTTCAATTGAACTGTGACAGAATTGAGAAATCTTCCTTTCAATGAATAGTGTCTTACAGTGTGGTGTCAGCTTTCACCTGCAATTTTCTTTTATAAACTAAATTCTTACTACCATAATAATAAAAATAAATGGGGAATGTGTCCATGGAACACAGATGATGCCCCCGCTTGCATATCATATAAAGTTATAAAGGGACATAACTGAAGAACGGTACAAGTGACGCTACCCAAATTTGTACTTGATCTGAGTTTTGTGGTGATAAGTATTGTGTATAAGTTTCATAAAAGGAGTAGGGGCAATAAGGGCCAAAATCGGCCCCAATTTTCACAAAAAAACGAAGTTCCTTCACAATTACATATTACCGACTAAAATAATCATTGTAAAGTGTGTTTTCAGAAAACATGTTATTTTCGGCAAAAATCACGTTCCGTGACGTCACAATAGAACCTCGAAAACGCCATGATTTGTAATTATTGCTTAGAATACAAACATTTTCAGTACATTTTACGAGAATTCGTACCCTCCGCAGGCATGTGCCAAAATTTCCTTTAAACGATAAACGGAACTATAAACAAACAAAATAGTAGCAAAATATTTTTTTGGCACATGCATGCGGAGGGTATGAATTTTTTGTCAAAAGCGGAATCGTTTCTTCTCGGGAGGCATTGAACACCTGACGTTATACCCCTTTCAGATAACCAGTTTACTCGCAAATACAACTTATAACTTCCATGTGATGCAAATTAATATTATGCATCTCAAAGTGTATTGTTTTTAAACCTTTTTTAGTCTTCTTAGTCTTTTCCATGGTTTATTATTGATATGACTGTGGATCGAATAGAGACACAAACTTGGGACCAGGGCATGTTGTCAAACTATATAGATGACCGATAAAAAATAGAAAGAAAAAAAAACAGAAATAAAATTAAAAAAAAATCAGTATAGAACTTAATTTTACATTAAATTAATTGATTTGCGACATGTAAAATATTTAGTTTGTCTGATCACTTTATATATATAACATGATCATAAAAAAGTAGTTTCGGAAATTTGAAAAAACCGGCGGGTTCAGATTATTGAAGACATCTTTTAGGACAACCACAAAAGGAAAGCGTCTATATAGTTACCAGCAGTACTTTAGACCCGATCTACTTAGCTCAACTTTAGAGAATAGCTGTCAAAGGATTATTAATTTCGGTTGTAATTCAAAAGGGTATGTTGATTATTTTACTTATCAATTTATCTCAACAGAAATATGCGGGGTTCCGTACAGTTTATCATATTTAACATATTAATCTTCTCACGGTAGTATTTGCACGATCATTTCAACTTAAAAAGCTTACATCAATCCGTTTGAAAACTAAATTATACCAAAAATGAATTGGTATCTTTACCAGAAATATCCTTATTTTACAGTTGAATATCAATATTACCGGGCGATGAAAAAGAAAAGAAATTTACGGGGTATGAAAACTATCCTTGTACTAGGAAACTTTTGTGTGTTTCTTTTCTATAACGTTATATTATGAATATATACATAAAAATAAACAGTGAAAAGATCACAATTTATCCTACAATTTGAAGTTTATGTTAAAACAGTATTATAGTTTCTTGGGTGTCGTATGCTGGAGAAACTTTTCTAACGTACTGTTGAATTTAAGTACCTGTAAATTAACGTATATTAAACAGTTGACGGGATAGTCGTGAGGATAAGGTAGTCATGCTGACAGTACGGAGATGCCAGGTTCAAATCTCAATTTTTTTTTGTAATTTTTTTTTTTGCATAAATGCATAAATACTTTTTTAATATTGTCATAACGTGTTAAAGAATGATTTTGAATGATGAAGTTTTTTTTTATAGATATTTACTGAAGAGCAGTATACATGGTATTTTGAATAGAGACATTGTACTTCACCAGTATGACTGTACTAGCAGTTGTCACTTACATACTTAATGGTCCCTTAATAAGGTATTCCTTATTTTTAACTGATTCATGTCTTAAAGCATTTGTGCTCGAATAAACAGTTTAAACCTATGTTTGAATGATGATTAACATTGTATTATCAGGCACAGAAACAAAAAGACTACTTTTTGACAGTTTATAGTGTGCGGCTATAGAAGTAATAATCTTTTATCTTTAAATTGAGAAATGGTTATTAATATTTTTATAGTAATTTTAATAAACTTTCTCAACATAAAATGTTTACTTAATACCCTGTCATATTTAGTTCAAAATAAGTATACATTATTTTGATAATCTTCATTTTTTTCAACAGATTTTAAGCTGGCTTAAACAATGCAAGTGTATGCTTGGTGAAAGGAATATGTCGGTTCCTGATAGGAACACATGACCTTAAGGTGAGTCTAGGGTTAAGATAAATGTACTGCGTGTTTTAACTTCTAGTAATTATGATAAACGTATCTTGATGAGAGCATGCATTATCTACATTTCGAGAAGACTTAGAGGTTTACATATTGAGTAGACATTATTTTGTTGAATATTATATGTTTCCCTCTGTTTGTCTTTTGTGTGTGTGTGTTGTTATAGGGGTGGTGGTTTGCTGTCCCATTAATGTTTATCCGTTACATCTTTGTATTCATGTTTTAGGTTGTAATTTTCTAATATATGAAGACTTTAAGATTTATTTATTATTATAAACTATCCGTAATTTTGATACTGACTTAAACACTTTTGTCCGTTTAAACGTTAAACGATAATTAAGTATATAAACAATCAGGGTTGAATATAGCATATTTCAAAACTGATATTTCGTGATGGAATTTGCATGTAAATTAACAAAAACGTAAACACACACACACACGTGCGCAGACAAATACACACAACTAAACTAAGAAACATACGCACCATGACATTCTCAGGCTAAAACATTTTACGATATTGTATTTTATAATTTTAAATCACACTTTGGATATTCTGTATGTTATTCTGATTTACCTCATGCTATCTGTTTAAATATTTCCATTTCTAATTTTCAGAGAATGTCAACGCCCAGAAACTATACTTGCATTTTGTGTTCAAAGAGACCAAAAACCAGAGACAGGCGGAAACTCATAGGACCCAACAATAAATCACTGCGTAAATGTTTACAACAGAAGTTTTTCATTGAACAGGACAAAATTAATCACACTAACAGTGTTATATGTAATAAATGCAGAATACGATGCTCTCGAGAAATTGACACAAATGTAAGATGCCCCATACAAACTACAATATCTGAATTAAATAATGATGACACGGAGTACGTCCCTCCAACAAAATATGCTAGATGCCATCCATGTAAATCTCCACCAAGTATCGCACTGCCTATACCATCAGCTGGAGGTGGCCATTCGCAGTGTGTGGTGTGTAAACGCAGAGGCCCAAAGCTAGTAGTCGTCCCAACAAACACTAGATTTAATTTATTTTTGGATAAACTCATTGTTCTCACAGTTGGTGCCAGATGTTGTCCAGGTCACTTGTGCAATGAAATATTTTTACCTGATGCACTTGACAGAATTTCACATTCGCAGTCTTCGTCCATTTTCAACCATACTGACTTAATGGACCTTATTACGCAAATCCGAGATATGGCATTGAGAGGAAGCAAGCGGCGAATTGATTTTGATACAGAAAATGCACTTACAAACTCAGACATTTTAAATCTGACAGGCCTTTCTAAGGAAAACTTTAATGACCTATGTTCAATTGTCCAAAAGGGTAATTTACGGGATTCTCGGACTCGAAGTGTTCGGACATGTATTGGAATATTTCTGACCAAATTGAAGTCTGGTTTATCCAATCAACTTTTATCAACACTTTTTAATCTTGGTAAAGATTCTGTTAGACGTGCTATTGCATCAGCTAGAAAATTCTTGTCTGACAATTTTGTTCCCTCTAATCTAGGATTTAATCATATAAGTAGGGAAGAGGTCATAACATCCCATACTCGACCTCTAGCGCAATCACTGTTTGGAAAAGGAATGTATCCAGCAATTATAGTCGCAGATAGCACTTATATTTATATCCAGAAAAGTTCACAATTCAAGTTCCAACGTAAATGCTATAGTATGCACAAACATCGACCATTGGTTAAACCAATGGTCTTTGTAACAACTTCTGGTTACATTATAAGTGTAATTGGACCGTACTTTAGCGACGGCAAAAACAACGATGCACAAATAATAAAGCACATCATTCAACATGACATTGAGGAATTTAAAGAATGGGTGACTGAGGATGACATTATGATTGTCGACCGGGGTTTCCGAGATGCACTTGACTTACTGCAAGAAATGGGTATCCAAACAAAAATGCCAGCTTTTAATAAAAAAGGGGAGTCTCAACTTCCAGTTGAAGACAGCAACGTAACAAGACTAGTTACAAAAATCCGTTGGGTGGTAGAGTCCGTGAATGGCCGCATTAAGTCATGGAAATATCTAGATAGAGTTCTACCAAATAGCCAGATTCCATTTGTATCTGATTATGTCAATATTGCCTGTGCAATCATGAATAAATATTGGCAAGAACTAAATACAGGGGACTCAGAACAAGATGAACAATTGGCGTCTAAAATGCTTTATCTTTCAAAGCAAAAGAACTTACTCCATGAGAAAATAATAGAGGAAGGCCTTGACAAACGTTCTTGTAAATGGCAAAAGATTGATGCTTCATCCGCCCCTACTTTTCCCCCTTTATCAGAAGAAGATATAAGAAATATTACTGTTGGAGTCTACCAACTTAAACTTGCTCCAAGTTATACAAGAGAACACCTAGATGACGATGGTAATTATGAAGTTTTTACATGTGACCATGAAGAAAATCTTTTGTGTGCTAAAATTCAATCAAGACATCAAAATGCTATCGTGTATGGGTTAAATATGATGACATTAGTGTCGTGGGTTGGTATTGCCAGTGCAAAGCCGGAAGTCGTGTTGTAGGAACCTGCTCTCATGTTACGGCCTTAATTTGGTATCTTGGTATTGGAAAGTACACGGATAGAATTTTTGAAAATTGTCGTGATTGGAGCAAATATCTTCTTGATGCTCGTAACCTGCCAGATCCAGTTACTGTTGACGAAAGTGACAACGAGGAAGCAAATGATGAAGAGTGAATGACGTGAAAATTCATTATTTGTTTTTTAATTTGAAAGAAATGACAAAACGTTTAATTCCTTTTTGAACCATACATTTTACAGTGTATATCATTTGATATGTCTGGAAATGTTTTTACCAACTGCTTCCTCCGACATTGTACAGAATTGTAAGAATAGTTGTTAATTTGCTTGGTTCCTTTTTATCTAAAATCGTACTTCTACAAAATTATGTCTGTCATCAGGAAATGTGTCTTATGTAAAAGTGTACTCTCCGGTTTTATGTATTAGTGTATATGAAAAAAAAACAATCCGCCCGTGTTCTTTAAAACTTACAGAAAGATAGTTCAATGCACGGGTTAAAATAACTAAATCCATTTCTTTTATATTTCAAACCGTAGGAAATCATTAGATAGTCGCTGTACGTAGTAGCTCATTTTTTTATATGGGTTATTAGATATATGACCCAATGTGTATTTTATGTATAATACATCACATTTCTACTATTTTAATCACCTCATCCATTCGTATGACCGTGCGTTTGTCAAACAAATATTTTCCAAATATTTCTTTTCTCAAAACTAATATACAATGTCAGAATGTCATCATATTTTGTCAGCGACCAACCCTATCAAGTTGTAGTTTGTGTGTTTTTTTCTCTCGAATCTCTCAGACAATAACTTCATGTTTTCTTGTATGTTGAGTTACTAGTTCAACATATTTCTTCATATACATGTTTTTCATATGACTATTTGCAAGTAATTGTAAGATTTAACAAATAGGTACATAAATCATATGTTCATGATAAAGCATAATGACAGTTTTTTTTTTACTTTATAGCTTGTGACTTGAGTAATCAAAGTATATCCATTCCTTCAGGCTTGCTCACGGAATATTGCGGATTGCAGAAAATATAGAATAATTTGTCACATAATGCAGAATTAATAAATATTCTTTGATAAAAAATACTGTATGCATATGCCTAGACGAGTATTGTGAATTCTTTTTTTTTTCCTAAATAAGGAAAAATGAGATTTCTCCTATTTAACCTTATGAAATAACTGGTGGTTTTGTTAATTTCAACGTTTTCGAGAAAAAAAACAAGGTTATGACACCAAGGTTTACTTATGTTTATATTGAAAATCGAAAATTTATTGATCCAGAGGTTTTAAAGAAGTTTAAGAAAAATATATCGTCCAACATTTAAACACCCAAGCTATCTGAAAGCACTTATCTATGATTTGATTATTTTTTTATGTAGGTTTCTGTTGCCATAGCAACGGTAACTGTGTTCTTATAAGTAAAATGAATTGTAAACAAATATTATGAAATAGCATTTGTACACTGTATGAGTTGAAAAATAACATTTCCCTAATCAACTGAATGTTAAAACAGTATGTGCTACATTGATATTTCAAAACGGCTACAAATAAAAATATTCCATGAAAAAAGAGGATTTTTTTATTTATCTGTCATTAGTTTTGAAAGTTTCTTACGCGAAAACGGCTTGAGATATGGACAAAATCTTTTCTGTTCTATGAAGTGGATAGTTTAGGCATGATTTTCAGAAAAAATGAATTTGTTCTAAGATGGGGCCGATTTTTGCCCTTATTGCCCCTACTCCTTTGGTTGAGGCAAACTTAAGTTAGAGAACAGAAACGAAAAATTCAGCAATTTTTCCATTTGTAAAGGGACATAACTCTAGAACAGTAAAAGTGACACCACCAAAATTCAAACTTGATAAGTATATTGTGTAATAAGCATTGTGTATAAGTTTCATATCATTTGGTTGAGGCTAACTTAAGTTAGAGAACGGAAAAGGAAAATTCAGCAATTTTTCCATTTGTAAAGGTGCATAACTCTAGAACAGTAAAAGTGACACCACCAAAATTCAAACTTGATCTGTATTTTGTGGTTATAAGCATTGTGTAGAAGTTTCATAACATTTGGTTGAGGCTAACTATAGTTAGAGAACGGAAACCAACTTTGGGATGTACGTACATAAGTACATACAGACGGATAAGGGTAATGCCCCTCCCCTACGGCGGAGGCATAAAAATATACGCTTGTATACACTGCATTGAGGTGAGAGTTTTTTTTGAGGCCTCACTGTGACTTTGAGATGAAGAACAGCAATAAAAAAGCTGTTCCTTGGTTTTTGGTGTGTTTTTTTGTGTGCATGTACTGAATTTGTGTCATGGATGGATACTCCACATCCTTTGTTTTTCTTTTGCATGCATACTTCGGCAAAAAAATGAAGTAAAATATCCACAAGAATACAATTTTCCCTCAATCCACAAAAATATAAATGAATCCACAGTATAAACACAGCAAAATGTACATTGGCATTAAATGTGAATATTTACATATTGATAATCTATTTTTGAAAATCGTTAGAACTTAAATGGACTATAACAAGAGGCTCTCAAGAGCCTGAATCACTCACCTGTAATTTTTTGCTTAAATCTTTCATCAATGATTATTTTTGCTTTTCAATATATATCAATGAGTGGCTTAAAAATGCCATTTAAATGTTCTTTGTATCTGTCATATTTTCTTCAAAAGCAAAAAAAATGCATTTTACCCTATGTTCCATTTAGCCATAGTGGCTATGTTTCTTGACGTACAAGGAAATAAAATAAAAAATTTATACTAGATACTCTGAAACTCATTCAGCCCAAGTTTGGCTGAATTGATTCAGCAGTTTCAAAGGAGAAGATTTTTTAAAGTAAGCAAACTAGATGAACAAATTGTGGAAAATTGTCTTTAAAGGACAATAACTCCTTAAGGGGTCAATTGACAATTTTGGTCATAACACTTATTTGTAGATCTTACTTTGCTGAACATTTTTACTGTTTACAGTTTATCTTTATCTATAATAATATTCAAGATAAATAACCGAAAACTACAAAATTTCCTTAAAATCATCAATTCAGGGGCAATAACCTAAAAATCAGATACACGATTTGGCTGATAATTTCAGGGCAGGTAGACCTTGACCTAATGAATACTTTAACTTCTTGTCTGATTTGCACTAAATGCTTTAGTTTTTGAGATATAAGTCAAAAACTGCATTTTACCCTATGTTCTATTTTTAGCCATGGTGACATGTTTTCTGAGGAAACAGAAAATAAAACACAAAGTTTATTCTAGATAACCTAAGAATCATTCAGCTTAAGTTTGGTTTAATTTGGTTCAGTAGTTTCAGAGGATAAGATTTTTTAGTTAGAAAACATGATAAACAAATTGTGTAAAATTGTCCTTAAAGGGCCATAACTCCTGAAGGGGTCAATTGACAATTTTGGTCATTAAACTTATTTGTAGATCTTACTTTTCTGAACATTTTTGCTGTTTACAGTTTATCTTTATCTATAATAATATTCAAGATAACCAAAAACTGAAAAATTTCCTTAAAATTACCAATTTAGTGGCAGCAACCCAACAATGGGTTGTTAGATTCATCTGAAAATTTCAGGGCTGATAAAACTTGACCTAATGAACATTTTTACCAGTATCAGATTTGCTCTAAATGCTTTACTTTTTGAGATATAAGCCAAAAACTGCATTTTACCCGTATGTTCTTTTTTTAGACGAAACACAAAACAAAACACAAACTTTAATCAAGATACCCTAAGGATCATTCAGTTTAAGTTTGGTTGGAATTGGTTCAGTAGTTTCAGAGGTGAAGATGTTTGAAATAGTTTACACCGGACGGATGACGACGATGGACAACGACGACAGATGCCAAGTGATGGCAAAATCTCACATTTCCTTTGGAAAGGTCAGCTAAAAAGCCTGACTTGAGAGAGGCTTTGTCTGCAATCTGACAACATTACCCTTTATTGGTTGTTTTCAGAGTGACAAGTATATCTAATGGAGCAAGGAGAAAGATCACATTTTAATCAAATTGCTTTGTGTGGTAACTAGTATTTATATTTTTACCAATTAATCAGATTGGGTAGTTTTTACAAACTGCAATTTGGTGAAAGGAAAGAAAAGACTGCAAAAGTTACAGTGACTGAATTCTCAATACTTCTTCATAGTTTTTACCAACCACCTTTGTGATGCTGTAGCACACTTGATTGGATCCCTGACTAAGTATAATCTAAGACTTTAAAGTTGGTAATGTTAGGTGGTTTATTACCACAGAGTTTAAAGGTTTTATTACAACAGAGTTTAAAGGTTTTATTACCACAGAGTTTAAAGGTTTTATTACCACAGAGTTTAAAGGTTTTATTACCACAGAGTTTAAAGGTTTTATTACCACATTTAAAGAATTTAAAATTTGTATTTGCTGCTTGTCAACTGCTTATTATACATACTCTATTTAACATTGTGCAGACATCTTCTGTTCTGGCAAACTTCATAAATACTTGAACAAGAGCTTCAATATACCAGCTACCTCGTTCTCTGTTTCTCCAGGCATAATATCCTACAATTATTTATACAAGTGTTAAAGCATGTAAAGTGTTTCTCTAGGCATAATACCCTACAATCATTTATACAAGTGTTAAAGCATGTAAAGTGTTTCTCTAGGCATAATACCCTACAATCATTTATACAAGTGTTAAAGCATGTAAAGTGTTTCTCTAGGCATAATACCCTACAATTATTTATACAAGTGTTAAAGCATGTAAAGTGTTTCTCTAGGCATAATACCCTACAATTATTTATACAAGTGTTAAAGCATGTAAAGTGTTTCTCTAGGCATAATACCCTACAATCATTTATACAAGTGTTAAAGCATGTAAAGTGTTTCTCTAGGCATAATACCCTACAATTATATATACAAGTGTTAAAGCATGTAAAGTGTTTCTCTAGGCATAATACCCTACAATCATTTATACAAGTGTTAAAGCATGTAAAGTGTTTCTCCAGGCATAATACCCTACAACCATTTATACAAGTGTTAAAGCATGTAAAGTGTTTCTCTAGGCATAATACCCTACAATTATATATACAAGTGTTAAAGCATGTAAAGTGTTTCTCTAGGCATAATACCCTACAATCATTTATACAAGTGTTAAAGCATGTAAAGTGTTTCTCCAGGCATAATACCCTACAACTATTTATACAAGTGTTAAAGCATGTAAAGTGTTTCTCTAGGCATAATACCCTACAACTATTTATACAAGTGTTAAAGCATTTAAAGTGTTTCTCTAGGCATAATACCCTACAATTATTTATACAAGTGTTAAAGCATGTAAAGTGTTTCTCTAGGCATAATACCCTACAATCATTTATACAAGTGTTAAAGCATGTAAAGTGTTTCTCTAGGCATAATACCCTACAATCATTTATACAAGTGTTAAAGCATGTAAAGTGTTTCTCTAGGCATAATACCCTACAATCATTTATACAAGTGTAAGAGCATGTAAAGTGTTTCTCTAGGCATAATACCCTACAATCATTTATACAAGTGTTAAAGCATGTAAAGTGTTTCTCTAGGCATAATACCCTACAATTATTTATACAAGTGTTAAAGCATGTAAAGTGTTTCTCTAGGCATAATACCCTACAATCATTTATACAAGTGTTAAAGCATGTAAAGTGTTTCTCTAGGCATAATACCCTACAATCATTTATACAAGTGTTAAAGCATGTAAAGTGTTTCTCTAGGCATAATACCCTACAATTATTTATACAAGTGTTAAAGCATGTAAAGTGTTTCTCTAGGCATAATACCCTACAATCATTTATACAAGTGTTAAAGCATGTAAAGTGTTTCTCTAGGCATAATACCCTACAATCATTTATACAAGTGTTAAAGCATGTAAAGTGTTTCTCTAGGCATAATACCCTACAATTATTTATACAAGTGTTAAAGCATGTAAAGTGTTTCGCTAGGCATAATACCCTACAATTATTTATACAAGTGTTAAAGCATGTAAAGTGTTTCTCTATGCATAATACCCTACAATCATTTATACAAGTGTTAAAGCATGTAAAGTGTTTCTCTAGGCATAATACCCTACAATCATTTATACAAGTGTTAAAGCATGTAAAGTGTTTCTCTAGGCATAATACCCTACAATCATTTATACAAGTGTTAAAGCATGTAAAGTGTTTCTCTAGGCATAATACCCTACAATCATTTATACAAGTGTTAAAGCATGTAAAGTGTTTCTCCAGGCATAAAACCCTACAATCATTTATACAAGTGTTAAAGCATGTAAAGTGTTTCTCCAGGCATAATACCCTACAATCATTTATACAAGTGTTAGAGCATGTAAAGTGTTTCTCTAGGCATAATACCCTACAATCATTTATACAAGTGTTAAAGCATGTAAAGTGTTTCTCTAGGCATAATACCCTACAATCATTTATACAAGTGTTAAAGCATGTAAAGTGTTTCTCCAGGCATAATACCCTACAATCATTTATACAAGTGTTAAAGCATGTAAAGTGTTTCTCTAGGCATAATATATACAAGTGTTAAAGCATGTAAAGTGTTTCTCTAGGCATAATACCCTACAATCATTTATACAAGTGTTAAAGCATGTAAAGTGTTTCTCTAGGCATAATACCCTACAATCATTTATACAAGTGTTAAAGCATGTAAAGTGTTTCTCCAGGCATAATACCCTACAATCATTTATACAAGTGTTAAAGCATGTAAAGTGTTTCTCTAGGCATAATACCCTACAATCATTTATACAAGTGTTAAAGCATGTAAAGTGTTTCTCTAGGCATAATACCCTACAATCATTTATACAAGTGTTAAAGCATGTAAAGTGTTTCTCTAGGCATAATACCCTACAACTATTTATACAAGTGTTAAAGCATGTAAAGTGTTTCTCTAGGCATAATACCCTACAACTATTTATACAAGTGTTAAAGCATGTAAAGTGTTTCTCCAGGCATAATACCCTACAATCATTTATACAAGTGTTAAAGCATGTAAAGTGTTTCTCCAGGCATAATACCCTACAATCATTTATACAAGTGTTAAAGCATGTAAAGTGTTTCTCTAGGCATAATACCCTACAATCATTTATACAAGTGTTAAAGCATGTAAAGTGTTTCTCTAGGCATAATACCCTACAATTATTTATACAAGTGTTAAAGCATGTAAAGTGTTTCTCTAGGCATAATACCCTACAATCATTTATACAAGTGTTAAAGCATGTAAAGTGTTTCTCTAGGCATAATACCCTACAATCATTTATACAAGTGTTAAAGCATGTAAAGTGTTTCTCCAGGCATAATACCCTACAATCATTTATACAAGTGTTAAAGCATGTAAAGTGTTTCTCCAGGCATAATACCCTACAATCATTTATACAAGTGTTAGAGCATGTAAAGTGTTTCTCTAGGCATAATACCCTACAATCATTTATACAAGTGTTAAAGCATGTAAAGTGTTTCTCTAGGCATAATACCCTACAATCATTTATACAAGTGTTAAAGCATGTAAAGTGTTTCTCCAGGCATAATACCCTACAATCATTTATACAAGTGTTAAAGCATGTAAAGTGTTTCTCTAGGCATAATATATACAAGTGTTAAAGCATGTAAAGTGTTTCTCTAGGCATAATACCCTACAATCATTTATACAAGTGTTAAAGCATGTAAAGTGTTTCTCTAGGCATAATACCCTACAATCATTTATACAAGTGTTAAAGCATGTAAAGTGTTTCTCCAGGCATAATACCCTACAATCATTTATACAAGTGTTAAAGCATGTAAAGTGTTTCTCTAGGCATAATACCCTACAATCATTTATACAAGTGTTAAAGCATGTAAAGTGTTTCTCTAGGCATAATACCCTACAATCATTTATACAAGTGTTAAAGCATGTAAAGTGTTTCTCTAGGCATAATACCCTACAACTATTTATACAAGTGTTAAAGCATGTAAAGTGTTTCTCTAGGCATAATACCCTACAACTATTTATACAAGTGTTAAAGCATGTAAAGTGTTTCTCCAGGCATAATACCCTACAATCATTTATACAAGTGTTAAAGCATGTAAAGTGTTTCTCCAGGCATAATACCCTACAATCATTTATACAAGTGTTAAAGCATGTAAAGTGTTTCTCTAGGCATAATACCCTACAATCATTTATACAAGTGTTAAAGCATGTAAAGTGTTTCTCTAGGCATAATACCCTACAATTATTTATACAAGTGTTAAAGCATGTAAAGTGTTTCTCTAGGCATAATACCCTACAATCATTTATACAAGTGTTAAAGCATGTAAAGTGTTTCTCTAGGCATAATACCCTACAATCATTTATACAAGTGTTAAAGCATGTAAAGTGTTTCTCTAGGCATAATACCCTACAATTATTTATACAAGTGTTAAAGCATGTAAAGTGTTTCTCTAGGCATAATACCCTACAATCATTTATACAAGTGTTAAAGCATGTAAAGTGTTTCTCTAGGCATAATACCCTACAATCATTTATACAAGTGTTAAAGCATGTAAAGTGTTTCTCTAGGCATAATACCCTACAACCATTTATACAAGTGTTAAAGCATGTACAGTGTTTCTCTAGGCATAATACCCTACAATCATTTATACAAGTGTTAAAGCATGTAAAGTGTTTCTCTAGGCATAATACCCTACAATTATTTATACAAGTGTTAAAGCATGTAAAGTGTTTCTCTAGGCATAATACCCTACAATTATTTATACAAGTGTTAAAGCATGTAAAGTGTTTCTCTAGGCATAATACCCTACAATTATTTATACAAGTGTTAAAGCATGTAAAGTGTTTCTCTAGGCATAATACCCTACAATTATTTATACAAGTGTTAAAGCATGTAAAGTGTTTCTCTAGGCATAATACCCTACAATTATTTATACAAGTGTTAAAGCATGTAAAGTGTTTCTCTAGGCATAATACCCTACAATCATATTTACAAGTATTTTAAGCATATCAAGCATACAGGATTGACTGGAGAAGTATTTAATTGTCCCACTTCCAACATGTTCATTTCTTATCATTGTGGTACTTTGACTACTTATCTTGTGTCTGCTGAATCCAAGTGTAGAATCCACATGAAGTGTAAGGCTTAACATAAAATAACAAGTTAAACTGTAAGCTATGACTCACTAATGATACCCTTTATCAAGTGTTCACAAACAAGAAGTTGATAGAGTGATAAATGTGAAAATTCATCACATTGGATACCATGCTATAATGAAGCTTGATTGCAAATTTCAGAAAGCTTAGATTTGTAGTTCCTGACAAAAAAATTACCAAACTGTTATGAAACATATGGATGAAGCATGGAAGATGTAAACCAGTGTACCTACCTCTCCTCCTTTAGAGCCTGGGTATTATGAGTTATGTATTTGTTAAGTGATTACCTGTTTGTGTAGGAAAACATACAAGCATATCTGACATTGTTGGAAGTTGATAAGGCTTACATGGGGCTCCATCATGTTCATCACCATACATTACACCACTGTCTAGTGCTCCTGAAATTTATACATTTTTAAATATATATATTTTGAAAAATCGAACATGTACACCGGAAATAATCTGAGGCCTAATTAAGATTGGAGTCGAGTGCACCTGTCCCGTGCCGGATTTGAATTCACAACCTCAGTGTTGACTGGCAAGTGATACAGTAGTTCCACTACTTAGACCACTCGGCCACCGAGGCCCCAAAAATCCAATTTGACAAAAGCCTTCAAAATAGTTGGTTTACGGAATGGTTATTGAATCAAATCAAATCAAATCAAAGAGCTATTTTGATCAACTAAATATCAAGATAACACATATTATCTATGAAAGCTTTTAAACAAAACATCTTAAAGGAGTGGGTAACGGGCCAAAACTAATCAACAGATGCAAACAAAATGCCCATTTCATAAATGAATAATCATGACTAAACATCATACTAAACTAAAGGAACTATTTGACAGTAGAATAATTGAAGAGCACTATTAATAGCTCTTTGGCTGGCGGCAATTTCAGTTAAATAAATAAAGCATTAAATGCAAAAGCACCACAGGGGTTGTGTTGAAGAATAACCATTTAGTACACAGCAACATGAATTGGGACAGTAAAAACAGTGGAAAAATCTAAAACAAAAATCATTTGGGAATTAACATCTAAATCAATGCCCTGTTGATTTGTAAGAGTGTAATGGGAACCCTCCATGAGCTTTGTAGGGGTTTTGTTACATGAAGACCGCATGGACTATGGAATATTGCACTTAAATACCAGGTTTTTTATAAGCAGATGTCCAGGTGTTAATTATTTCATAGGAAAAAGTCCAGGTGGCAATTATCTAATAACGAAATGTCCAGGTGGCAATTATTTAATAAGGAAAAGTCAACGTGGCAATTATTTAATAAGGAAAAGTCCATGCAACATTTTTTTAAATAGGAAAAGTGCAAGTGGCAATTATCAAATAAGGTAAAGTCCAGGTGTTAATTATTTCATAAGGAAAAGTCCAGGTGGCAATTATCTAATAAGGAAATGTCCAGGTGACAATTATTTAATAAGGAAATTTCCAGATGACATTTTTTTAATAAGGAAAAGTCCAGGTGGCAATCATTTAATAAGGAAATGTCCAGGTGTTAATTATTTCATTAGGAAAAGTCCAGGTGGCAATTATTTAATAAGGGAATGTCCAGGTGACATTTTTTTTAATAAGGATATGTCCAGGTGTTAACTATTTAATAAGGAAAAGTCCAGGTGGCAATTATTTTATAAGGAAAAGTCCAGGTGATGATTTCTTAATTAGGAAAAGTCTAGGTGAAAATTTTTAATAAGGAAAAATCCATTAGACAATTTTTTTTATAAAATAAACTGTTAACACAGAGATATGTCTTGCCTATTTGTTATTTTTATAATGCAAATGTTGAAATTAAAATAGCAATACTTTATTAATATGTAAGTTATGCAAATATTCAAAGTCAATGAACCATGACTGAAGGTACAGGGCTAAACAATTTCCATGGAAATGAGATGTGCCAATACTAATACAACTGTTTACCAAATACCACTGAAATCTCATAAGTCGTTCCCTTTAAACAAACACAAACATTAACTTGTAAACTATGTAAAAGTTTCAAAGTCAATTAACCATAATGAGGGTGTGGGATTATATAATCTCCAAGGAAATGAAACTTGCAAATCCAAATATCATTGACTTAACATTAGTGGTTCATCTTAAACTGACCTAATCACAAACTAATACATGTAAACGAAGCAAAAGTTTCAAAGTCAATAGACCATTACTGAGGGGGCAGGGCCAAATAATCTCCATGGAAATGAGATGTGCCAATGCTAATACAACTGCATACCAAATATCATTTATTTACCACTAGTGGTTCACCATAAACTAGACCTAATCACAAACTAATACATTGTTGACGACATCGCTGTCGCAGGAAACAGCATACCTATGTCTCGCTTTTTGACTCCGTCAAGATGAGACAAAAATGTCCATTGACTATATATTGTAAAGCAAATGTCTACTGGTAGATGATAATTTTATTTTATAAGCAAAAGGTCAGGTGACCATATTTCTATAGCAAAGTCAAACCTTCTGATGATGTTCTACAGAATCTTGTAAAATCATCTGCCAATAATATACAAACATCAGAAACTCACTCCATCTTTCGTTGAGACTGTGTGACAGAAAAATCACATATACAAGTTGATCCATAATCAAATACTAAGGATTCATTATAATTGGTGGCATACTAACTTTTGTGGATTTTGTAAGAATAAATTAACCACAAATTTAAATTCCAACCAAGTAAAATTTTCTATAGGTTTGTCAGCAGACTTTGGCTTATCCAAGAAAGTAAATATCCAGGAAAATACCATTTTTCCTTAATCCATGAAAATTGGTACCCATATTGCATAAAAAATATAAAATCCTCAGTAACCAACTATCAAACTGGTAAATAAAGTTAAGTGCTTATTCTGTGTTGATTTTTTTTTTGGGTACTTTATCATGTCTATTTCACTGAACACATTTACATTCCTATCCCAAGTCAAGAGTGATGGCAGTAGTTGTCTATAGAAAAATCTTAATTTTTTTAATCGTTTGGAGATATTGTTGATGATGACAAATCCTTGATTCATTTATAACTTTCTAGACGCAGGGCATTTTAGAGCTTGACTTATTATATAGATATTTGTCTTTGTTGAAAACTGTTTGCTATAGTTACTTTTGTTGTTGTTTTTTTTCGTCTTTTGGTTCCCATTGACATATAATCAACATTTACAGTACTTTTTATCCTTTTCTTTTTTTCGTTATATTTTAAACAAATTAAAGGCTTACCTCCCCTACAAGCTTGTATTATAAATATCTTTGGCTTTCCCCTCAGATTAATACAATGACCATTATCAAAAAGAGACATAATGCTGTTCAGAAATATCTTTCTTCCATCTGTACCAAATATGTAACCTTCCTCTCCATGACTCAGTATACATACTACGCAGGCATCTGCATGCTTATGGTCTGGTAATTCGCTAAACTCTTGCAATTTTATGGCTATTTCCTGTGAAGATATAAAAACTAATAAATTTATAGAATATTAAAACATATCAGGAGTCAGTGTCAATTGTTTTTTAAATAACTAGTTGCAGTTATAATACATGTATATATTTATACAGCCATGTTTTGAAGATGAACTAATTTCTGTTACATTTGACAAATTTTCTGAAATGTTCAATCTTTTGATTCCAATTTGATCATGACCAATAACAGAGGTTTTCTTCAATAAAAACAAGGATTTCCCCATGTGGACTAATGCTTTCCTTTTTTGAAATTACTAATCATTTTCTGTAAGGCACTGTTTTCATTTGTACCACTCAATGATCAGAGTCTGAAACTGTTTATTTAAAGTATGCAATTCATTTATTTGTAGACCTTGAAATATAGATAAAAGAAATTGAAATTTCATTAGTTAATGTTGAACAATATTGGAGGACACATAGGGGTAAGATATTAGTGTATTGCTACATCAATGGTGTCTGAGAAATCTACTTAAGCAAAGAACTGAACTAACTCTGAAAATAAAATTATTAAATCAATGTGATCAACATTAATATCACTGTACAATATATGTTAGGGCTATTCCAGTAAAATGTATGTGGGAGGGTAGGAAGGGAAGTTTAATTACTGAATGTGGGTCATTGGTCTTTTTTCAGTATGTGTCTATTACCATTATGCAAAATTATCTAACAAATGGTTCTTGGTTGTAGGGATATTTTGAAAGTCCCTTCCTACCCTCCCATATACATTTTAATGGAATAGCCCTTAACAAGAAGCTGGCAAATGAGAGAAAACTGGGTTTTTTACATTAATTTTTGTCAATGTTTAAGCAAATAAGAGCTATAACTCCTAAACGGCAAAATTGAAAATGGTCAAAAAATATCTTAACCTCCATTTTGTCATGACAAACAACATATTCAAAATTTGAAAAGGATGGGATCAAGCATTCTAAAGCTATTGCATTAGTGTTTTGTGCACGGTTGATTGTCTTTTTTCTTTGATTTATGCTTTTTGATTTCCTCCTTGGGATCCTCTATTCCCTTTTTCAAAGGCATCTTTAAAAAATCTCAATACATACTACCATCTTAAAAAGAATTTGAAATTGATTCCAGCAAACATGTTGTGCCATAAAAAATTGTCAATACTAGCATAAAAAATAATATATTTTTTGAAGTTAGGAACAGGAGGATAATAAGGAAACCACATACCTTTGCTGTTAAACCATCTGAATCATTATATATTGTAACATCAAAGTGAAGCTGAGAAAAAAGATGATAGAGATTATCTCTATCTATGTTTGTGCCTCTCCTAGGTGGCTTTCCTTCTACTTCGTTAACATTTACTATTAAGGCTTTACCTCTTGGTATTCTAATCATTGAATAGGACTACAAAGATAAAAGAGTGATATATAATAGTGAAGTATACAAATAATTGAGAGCTATATGGCAGTTTATGGTTCAGACAGTCATCTTCCAAAAAGTGTATGAAGGTAAGTGAATTAATTTATTGACATGTAATTACATCACATAGAGGCAACATCAAACAACCTTGGTATTGTTTATTTTTTTGTGTTGTTTCTAGGTGTCTGGTTGCTGCTGTTTATTCCATTCACAACTTGCCTAGACTTTGGGTTATCAAAAGATAAAAATAAAAAGTTTGGTTGTTAATTGTTGAGAGTGAATCTTAAGTTGTCTTTATAAGGTTGTATTTGTTATTTGATTTTTTAGTTTCAATTCACATTCTATCAACCTACCAGCCAGCAAGAAAGAAAAAAATTACAAAAAAATAAAAACATACCCATATATAATAAACTAAATATGCATAATTTGATGCCTAATTTAACATAAGTTATTTCTTGTTAAAAAATTACACACCGATATTTTATACTTTTAATTTGAACTTTTCATTGATTTAGGACATATAATATGTGTCTAAATTTAAAATCTCTCATTAAAAAAAATGTTACACTTCCTGAAATATCTTTTAGTGTTTTTTTGCACACCATCAAAAGCATACCGGTTACTAGCAAATGACTAACAAAACAAAGAAAAACACAACTTTGTCTGTAACCCAAATTGTTTGGCTGCTGTCTTGTTGTCTTTTATTCGAGAGCACCTTTTTTCATTATTTAATTTATCACCTTTTTGTAATGTTCTATGTAAAACTGTCTTGTACTGGACTCTACTCGGACCATGACAGGTCCATCTGTAAGGTCCAATGAAGGGTCATCATGTTCACCTCCTGGGACCATCAATCGTTTCCCAGTCTCAAGTTCAGGGTCTATTATTTCTTTAGACTGGGTACTGACCAATACTATTGGTGGTGTTCGTTTTGGCTTTAGGTCTTCATATACTGGAATAGTGATGATCTCATCCTCTGCTAGTCTTGGCCGTTTTGCTGAAATGAGGAATTTTAACATAAGCTGATTGGATCTGCATTATGTACTATAAACATAATATATTATGTAAACTTTCAAGGTTATTTCAACTCTTATTTTGCTTTTTGCCAATTAACTTTAGAACATGGAAATTAAAATGGCATAAATAACTTCACAAAACCAATATCACATATAAAATTCCAAATTCGATTCTTAAATCTTTTTCTAAGTTCTCTAAAAAAATCAAAGTGCTTGTGAGAACTTAGGGGGTAAAGACGCTTTCATTTTGAACTTAAAATTACAAATTACAAATTGCATTGTATTCATATTAAGGCAACTTTTTAGAATTGGATTATCTCCCTTTGTCCATAATTGTAGGTAGAACATGTAGCTTCTTAGGCCATGCACTTCTTTCTGCAACTAGTGTAATATCTAATAAGATGATTTTCTTGACACATATAGTAATTAACATTCACATATCTTTTAGAGCTGACTATATGGTATGGATTTCACTCATTGTTGAAGGCTATATGGTAACCTACAGTTGCTTACATCCTTATCATTTGGACTCTGGTGGATAGTTGTCTCATTGAAATAATAATTACTGTCTAAAGTAATCAATCTATTTGATTTTTATATGTTATCTGTTACAATCCATTTCTTCTTTAAAAGCTATTATATTTTCAAATACTGTCAATTACATGATGCACAATAATAACTGCATCTCTTCATTTTCATATTGATAGGATATTAAGACTGTTCACCTCATTGCACTTTCTTTTGTGTACTGACAGAGCAGGATAGAGAAGATGTATAAAGCTTGTACCCAAAGGAATTCAATTACACTTTGTGTGCAATCATTATTAACCTCCCCCCCCCAAAAAAAAACAATAAATGAATAATACAAAACATATGTGTTTCTTTCTGCAATAGAAGTAAAGCTACAGTAACAAGAAACAGAAATTTTTACCATTAACAACTTCCCAGAGATATGACACACAGCAAAATACTTTATTATACTCTCTATCCTTACCTGATTGTTCCATATTATCTGGATATTCTTTGCCATTCTTTGTCATGGCATCTAAAAGAAAAGAAAAATAATCTTTTAATCTGAACAAACATTACAATGTTTCTATAATGGTATTGCATACTTATACAACAGAAGTATTTTCTTTATAGGGGGCCTCGGTGGCCGAGTGGTCTAAGAAGTCGAACTACTGTATCACTAGCCAGTCAACACTGAGGTTGTGAGTTCTAATCCCGCACAGGGCAGGTGCACTTGACTCCAATCTTAATTCACTAGGATTGTTAGATTTCCTGCCGAAGGTCGGTGGTTTTCTCCGGGCACTCCAGCTTCCTCCACCAATAAAAACTGACCGCCACGAAATAGCACAATAGTGTTGAAAGTGGCGTTAAACACCAATCAATCAATCAATTTTCTTTATAAAAGAATCAGCATATTGTAAGGCCAGCACTCCTTGCACAAATGAGTGGGCTCATTATAATGGGCAAGGTATATACAATAACAACATGTCATTCTTTGAATTTTTAAATAGTGCAAGGCCATGTGAGTTAAATTAGTTGTAGTCTGTCACAGCAGATGAATAAATGGACTTGTTTTCAGTATAATCTCTGACTTTTAAATGGACCTAATACATTTTTTTGTATGTTGTTTATGTTTTTAAAGTTTGTAGACTCTCCTATTACATGTATATTTTCTATATGACGTGAAACACTTCTGCTTGATTTTGACAATAATATTTTTTTAAATTTTAAAATTTTACATTTTATTAAAAATTTCAAATGATAAATAATGCAAATGTACTAAAACCAGGATAGCAACTCCTTTAGGCAAAGCTGACCTTAAGATCATTAGGCCCATTTAAATTTGTTTTTTTGTTTTTTTAATTCCCCATCTTTTTGCCTTGATCATAACTGATGAAGGTTATTTCAGAAATATAAGCTGTGTGCACAGATTTAGACATTAATCTGTTGCTCTCTTTTTATGGATGCAGTAGAATGTGTCCCTGTGTTTGCGTTTTATGGTCTTGGCTTTTACAGTTATGGGATTTTTGTTTGAGAAAGAACTTTCCCTTTACTCTAGTGGACAGTTGCCTCATTGGCATTAATACCACATCTCTTTATTGTTAAAATGTTTAAAAATATTAATCAGCCATCTAACATAAAATTATGAGGGAACTTAATATAAATGTACAACATTAAAGCCCTTTAATTGTACCTGCACATTTTTGGAACCCTAAATATAAGAATTTTTCAGGTAAGCCTAGTGTTCTGTTTGTTACTACTGCAAACTTAAACATGGATATTTTCACGATTTCAATGCATAAACTTTGCGTGCAGTGGTTAACTTCATGCATGTAGGTCCACTAATGTGACCTAAATGCATTTACTGATAAAGCCTTTTACATCCATGACATCAATATTGTTTTAATACGAAATAATAATTACCAACGCTATCATTCCTGATTAAAATATGGCTGTTTCCAACAAACTTTCTGGGTGATGATTCCCATTGATGAGGAAGACTGTTGATTTTTTGGAATGCTTCATGAGAAATGTCTCGTGGTTTGACATTATTTAAACCAGTATAAAATGGATCGGATATGTAATGCTGAAATTTGTACCGAGCCTCGCCTTTCAGCTCTTCTTCAGAAAAATTTTGATTTGGGTCACGACTGTTTGAAGAATAATGTACAAATAACTGATGATGATTGTCTGGAGGATTAATTAATCTTGGCGGGGACGAATGTGGACGTGGCTGCACAGCAGACGTATAATTTGCACCAGATATTGCTAGATTCACATTCTCATGAGTATGAGATGTTGTTGTGGAAGGAACTGTCACATGGGAATGAATTCTCACAAAAGATGCAGACTCGACATGAGAAGGTTCCCCATTGACAAGTCTACTACATGAGTTTGTAGTTTCTGCTTCTGATTTTTCTTCTTCTTTCGGTTTTAAATATAAATCTACTACATGTTCTTGTAAATCTTCTTTTAAAGAGTCACAGAAAGCATCAAATGCATTTGGTCCTCTTGTTGGAAGAATGTTTAATAACTCTTCCGCCTGCTGGTCTGGACTTTTGTTATGCTAAAACAGAAAATAAGAAAATGATCACATAAGATTATCAGAAATAAGCTAACAATCACCAATATAAACCCTGAAACTGAGTTTCTTCAATTATGTAATAACATAATTTGTGAGACCAGAGTACCAGACTACATGAATGAATTTCATTTTTACAGGACATTTGGTCTGGTAAACAAACTAGCTTTACCAGACCAAACGAAAGTTTACCAGACCAATTTTTTTTTTACATCTAATTGTATATTATACGACAAAATACAACAAACTTATGACTTGTTGTGCCTTACTCCTCTCCAAAATGCACAAAAACAAAATCATGTGACAAGAGTGTATATTTTGATGAAAGTTGTGCACAATTACTTGAATGCATTTCAGTGATAAAGAAAAGTAATGTCACATTTTATTGGATTTTGACATGAAAATTATTTGTGAACTAAAAATAATTTAGAGTTTCTGTATAAGATATTTTCTGTTTCTTCTTTCTTTTTCATATATCTTTTGGTTTTCAATTCTAGTGTTTATATTTCATAGCTGTATTTTGTGGCCTTATCCATTCCTGCAATCTGATCCGGGATTGTCTATATTTCTGGTTGATCATGTTGGTGGCAGCCATTAATGTTTTTGTCAACCAGATTTACACATTACTTGTTGGCGATTTTCGGCATAAAGCTAGCGTTGAACAAATAAATTAAACATCGCTGTCATGAACAATAAAGATGAAAATGAATTTTGAGATCGTTTGGGAATTTTGCTCCCAAAATTGAGAAAAATTTAGGATTTTTAGAAAAATCCATGAAAAAAACAACACTGGACATTCGGATTTGTCCGTTGAATTTCGTGTAGTCTGTGAGACATGCCTCAATAAAGCTGTTAAAGATAAGAAGTACAATACAGTATGTTGAACATTTCTATTCTAGAAAAAAACTGTTCATAAAATTCATTTAATGTTGGGCTGCTGTCAATATATCATGCCATATAATCATGGGAGTAACAACATATCAAAATTTGAAAAGCATGAATTAAATGGTTCTGATTTAACATCCTGCCATACTTCCCCAAATCAACAACCTAGATTTACTATTGCTTGTCATCTTCCCTATTTAAAATGGAAATTAAGGGAGACAAATCCTATTTGTTATACTGTGGAATCATTTATTTTCGTGGGTACCAATTTTCATGGATTGAGGAAAACTTACACTTTCGTGGATATTTAATTTCGTGGTTTTGCCTAAGTCTGCAGCATACAAGCCAATGGAAAATTTGTCATTTGTTGTACATATCAATTTGTGGTTAACCTGTGCCCACGAAAACCACGAAAATTGGTATACAACGAAAAATAATGAATCCACAGTAAGTCTAGAGAACATTTAATTAACAAGTGGTTCAAAAAATCATTTTGGGAATTTTCTTCAACTGAAAAACTATTCAATTGTAAGATTCAATTCTTTAATTTCTCTGCTATTTTACCTTATTTTCTCTGTTTCTTGTTCTTATTTATAAATGCATTACCGTGTGTTCCTTTTGTACTTGTGGATCATATCTATTTTTATATGCTACACTATATAACATGTTCTTTTGTAACTTTTAAAATTTAAAAAAAATATGTGCTGTATCACATATAAAGACAAGTTTCAAGCCTTTTTCAACTGATTTGAACAGTTCATTCTTCTGTTGTGCTGTTATACCACTGACCAATGTTATTGGGGAGGGTGAGCACTTTCAAACATGTTTAACACCGCCACATTGTAAATGTGAGTTTTCCAAGCTGGGAGCCCGTAAATCACTAGTTGTCGATGGTCCCAGTCTATATTGGTTTTTCGATTATTGTTTTGTACATAAATGACGCTGTTGGTTTTCTCATTTGAATTGTTTTACATTTTGTGGTGGTATTGGGGCCTCTTATAGCTTACTTTACCTTATAGATTTGATCATTGTTGAAGGAAGTACAGTGACCTAAAGTTGCTTACAGCTTCATTTGAGCTCTGGTGGATAGTTGTCTCATTGGCAATCATACCATAACGGTATATCATGTATATCTTCGAATTTTATATTCTATGTTAGTCTCTATTTTTTTACATTGTAGAGATAAATTAAAGTATGACTATACCTGATGAGAAATCCCAAAAAGTCCAATAAAACCATTTCTATTAAGTTCTTTTGACAACTTTCATATAAATACTGTAATTGTTTATATTCTTCCTCATGTTGCTAGCCTACATCATGTACATGGAATCATTTAAAATTAATTTGACCTACATTTGTTACTACCAACCCTGACTTATCAAACTGCAACATGAAAAAGATGAAATAATCTATGTTGTTTTTCTTTCCCTTTGAATAAACAAATTCTACAACTGTCCTTCTAAATATATCTTTTGGCATGCAACACAAATATCTTTTTGTAACTAAAATAAATATACAGGATATTAAAAACTTGAAAACATGAACACAGCTATACAGACATGATGTGAAACACTGATTCAGGTGCAGATACTAGATTTGAAGTTAGGGGCTTGAATCTAACAAAAATGCAGAGCAGAGGGAAGCCAAAAATTTTGAAAATTTTCCATTGTTAAGGGGAGTGTAGTGTCACTGTGTGCCCCCTAAATTTGCCCCTGTGATAAATAAATGTCATTACCTGTATAGTTCTAACCATGCGCTGGTTAAATATTTTCCTTGCTATCAACTGTGTAAATAGACCATCAGACACATTGAGATTCTCTACCAATTCTACCCTCTTCCTGATCAATAATTCTTTGTGTTTAGGATCCATTTGGTTCTCTATCAGCAAAATCAAAACATTGTGTAGTAAGATGGAAGACTTGGAATCTGTATGTTAAATAAATAAATCAGATGTAAAATTAAAAAAATACATTTGCAAATATTAGAACTTATAAGTCAACTTTCCAAACCTCTAAAGTGACAGATTTGCAGTAGAATCTTTTTTCACAATTTTTTCTTTGATATTTAATTAACTCAAACAGTTTAATTATTTATATTTAAAAAAATATTATAAATGAACATATATATTCAAGCTAAGTTAATGAATTTAATGGTGGTGATATCTTTTTCCCATTAAAATCATAAAAATGGGGGCCTTATCTTCCTGTATGTTCTGTCAATGACAAATATTCTGATGAAAATTTCTAAATTTTTGAAAAATTATGGTGAGATTTTAACTGACACCGGAAGAATAAATACCTACATGAAGATTTACAAAATGTAAATTACTATAAGGCAAGGAATGTAAACATACACTATAATTATTTCATGCCTTCTGGCAAAAACATATGGCAGTAATTTTCAACTTGAGTAATGTTATTGTTAGAGTTTTTGCTCAATGTTGATGGCCTGGCCATGCTGGCTGTAACTTTGGAATGCAAAAGAATAAAATCACTTTTCATTTGCATTTATTATTAGGCTGACTGTTGAGATTTTGTGTCATGAATGAGTTCACCAACTCCTTTCTGTTCCATCAGGTAGTCACCAAAGGCAGGTACAATAACTTTTGAAAAATCTCATACACAGACTACATGTACCTGTAAATATGGCTCGATTTATTTCAAATCTGAATAAACTGCTTCGCTGGGCGCAGCTGGATACGCCCACAGAGGTCCAACCCTGAACAGTTGGGGCAAAAATGGACACAATATTCAAGCTTGATACAGGTCTGAATTTGGATTGTAATTAAATATTTGACATATTATAATATAGGTTTCTGAATAAATGTAGTCAAAGAACTTGAAATTGGTTATATGAATTGAATTTATATTCAATTAAAGATTTCTTGCTGTTGTGCAATACACTGTGCTGTTGCTCAATACTTAGTAAATCTGTTGTCAGACTATAAACAAATAAAGTTCAATTAATTCTCAATGTCTTAATAGAAATTTATGAAAATGTAAAGGGAGCTTACATCAATAGATATAAACAATTCACCAAAGTTTCATGAGAATTGCTGACAGCATTTTTGAGTTATTGTCTGAAAACTGGAAAATCCCACCTTTTTTAATGAATAAAACCCCATAACTCAGAAATGATAACTGAAAAATTTATAAAATTCTAAACGGAGCTTACATTAATAGATATAAACAATTCATCAAAGTTTCATAAGAACTGCTGAAGTTATTGTCGGAAAACTGGAAAATCCCCCCTTTTTAATGAATAAAACTCCATAACTCAGAAATGATAAATGAAAAATTTATAAAATTCTAAACGGAGCTTACATCAATAGATATAAACAATTCACCAAAGTTTCATAAGAACTGCTGAAAGCATTTTTGATTTTTTGTCCGAAAACTGGAAAATCCCCCTTTTTTTATGAATAAAACCCTGTAACTCTGAAAAGTAATATTTAAAATATATAAAAATCGAAAGGGAGCTCATGTCAATAGATATAAACAATTCACAACAATTTCTTGCAAGTTGGTGAAAGCATTCTTGAGTTATTGTGTGAAAACTGGAAAATCCCCCTTTTTTTAATGAATAAAACCCGCGAACTCCAAAACGTAAAATCTAAAATTTATAAAAATCTAAAGGGAGCTCATGTCAATAGATAAAAACAATTCACCACAATTTCTTGCAAGTTGGTGAAAGCGTTCTTGAGTTATTGTCCGAAAACTGGAAAATCCCCCTTTTTTTAATGAATAACACCCCATAACTCGGAAACATAAAATCTAAAATTTATAAAAAACGAAAGGGAGCTCATAAACAATTCACCAAAGTTTTATGCAAATTGGTAAAAGCGTTTTTGAGTTAATGCAGGATTCTCCCTAGTATTTTTCAATTACATTTGTCATCATGTTTGTACAATCATGCTGATCGATATGACTTGTTTAAAATTATATATCATTATGATCATTGTAAATGTATATCAAAGCCAAAGCTTTAAACTTTTCAAAAATGGATCTGTAACTATTTTTTATGGTTAGATATGATACATGAGTTTTGAAAATTTAAAAAAATTCTTAAAGGAAAATATGCTTTCTTTTCAGTGATCACCTGCTTTATATATTAAGGCTATATAAACAATAATTACACCTTATGTAAGAATCCTGGGTTTTGATTGGTTGATAGCCAGTGTATTTTTCACCAATTTACTTTTATCAAATGAATATCATTCATTTTTAAACACCGCCGGGGTATATGCAAAAAAGGATATGCCTTTTTTACCCTCTCTGCCGTGGTATTTGCCAAAAAATACTCTATCCGACTGGACGCTTGTAATGTCAGGATCATCAATGTGTTTTATGTCACGATCATCAATGTGTTTTGTACGTTAACATTCGGTTTAATTAAACAGATATAGCATGTTCTTGAGGGGTATTTGCAAAAAATACCAGTCTTGAGAATGAATTTCCCTCGCCTTACGGCTCGCGAAATTAAACATTCTCTCGACTGGTTTTTTTTCGCAAATACCCCTCCTTAACATGATATATCTGTTCAAAATTCAATTGTATATTGGATAAATGGATTTTCGACAACCATTTTTTACAAGAACCATGTTAAATTCAACTCTCTGGTTTGTAATACATATAAGCATGACCAAGAACCACATGACAGTCATGTGACCTGAAGATCTGAGGAAGATAAAATAGCTGTACTTCATGTAACCATCATAATTTTTCAAGTAGGGCATATTTTTCACATTAAAAATAGGCGGAACAGTCCAAGGACGTGACATTGAATCAAATCAAGATCAAGTAAATTTTGTGTTTACATCTTTAACCCTCTTGCTGCCGGAAGGACACATATGTCCACACTTGCTATTCTGGAGCGACACATGTGTCCATATAGTTAATCTATGCAAGCATTTGTTCATTACTGCATCTCATTCTCTTTCAAATAAAACACTGAAGTTTATATACTTAATTTTTTTCTTCAATGGGTCTCCTATGCATCAGGGTGTCAAGTTGGATATGTGATGTCACAGACATCCAGCTATCATATTTCCTGGCATATGAAATGTAACCACATTAAATTAGGGGCAGCATTAGCGTTAAAAGCGACTTTGAACATGTTTGACATTTATCATGTTGTAATGTTGTTGTCATTCCAAATATATAAAACAACATGTCCAGTGTTCTCAATAAGAGCCAGCAACCGGCAAAATCCACCGCCTATTGCATGTTTTGTGCCGGCTATTAATTTATTGACAAAAATATGACATACGCAAAAATCATATAGTCGGAATCTGTCGTACATCTTTTTTCTACTAACTGGTTCCGAGTCGTCCGCCAGGTGTAAATAATACAATAGAAAACGTAAACATGGTAAACCAGTTTTAAATCATTTGAGCGTTTGAAACAAAGCAATAAAATCTGTACAAATCGAAATTGATGTTGACACGGATATTTTAGACGGCTCATTGCAAACTCAAACATGAAGAGAACGATCAGTGATTACTTTAAGCATGAGCCGGATTTACAGTAAAGTAAATAAAATAAAGCTCGCTTAGTGTATCTTACATGGATTTAAACTTGTGTGCATTCATGTATTTTATTGTATAATCGCCGGAGTATAAAGTAAAATAAAACACAGTAAAATCCACATCTGACGAACTCTTAGTCACTTCGGAATGTGGTTAAATAGGCACCCAAGTATACTCAATTCGGTACCTAGTCAAATATACTTTGAATATATACTGTTTTTAGTATTTTAAGCAAAAAAATTAAAATATAGAAGGGGGATGGCCAGAATTACAATGAATTAATTATTGTATATAATCAAGTTCTTTTTGTTTCTTTGTGTATTTTCTTCAGTCAACTTTATGTGTATTCAAGGTATTGGATATTTATTATGCATGTTTTAACCAGTTGATCTGATGACAGGGACTCATAGTTTGCCCTTTTATTGGGAAATGGCTTCATTAGTTTTTATTTAAGTTTTTGAAGAAAAACATCAATAACTACAAATGTACCTGTATAGAGTTAAAACAACAAACATGTGTATTATCTAATTGATACAAGTTATTAAATAATTAATTGAAAGAGACAAACCAAATCAAAACATCAGTTATAGGAGTTTAAAAAAAAATTAAAACATTTTACTTCTTAATAACCATGATAACAAGATTATTTTTAACAATGTACTGAACAAAATAAAATCCAACCCCATTTTTTTCTAGATAATTAAAAAGCAGAAAACAGATGAAAATTATTATTTGGTGCTGAACTGACAAACATAATGCCAAAATGACTTTAAAATAGATGCTATTTAAATCAGATGCTAATTTGACTTTTTTTATAGGTGCCGATTTAACTTGTACCCTCTGACCAACAGAGGGGATTGAGTGTAACCTGATAAACTGTTGACACTACATAGTTCCTATTTCCTGGATTTAAAATGTATTATTTTTCTAGCCATATTTTGTCAGTTGCTTACTGCAGGTTGACAGTTTCCAAAGGCAACTCTGGTTTCCTCTAAATATAAATCCTACCAGTTTTTGAATGACTGAATAAAGCATTAATTACTGTTCTCAATGAATTCTATCTGAAACTATAATACTAGACACTAAGAAATAATATGAAGTGAAGACACAATTATGAAGGTCATTCCACATGTTCCAGAAATGTCTGTATGGGGAGGGGGAAGGCACATCAATAAAAAAAAAATGCATGGGAAGCTTCACATACATGTATTTTCCCAATCAAAACTTAAAATTAAGGAAAAATGAATTAAAATTTTATTCAAATAAAAAGTTCTGGAATAGCCCTTAGTGATAAAGACTTGCAATAATTAGAACATTGAACAAGGAAAGGGGTGAAGCAAGCCATGTCATATAAATTCTGCAAAAAAAAATCACATTAATTTTCAATTTTTGAGGAAAAATTTAAATGAGCTACTAAAATTGGACAAATTAATTATTAACATGAAGGATAAGAGGTCAAAATCTACTCAGAACAGCCCAGATACCACCTCCTGCAATCTAGATTTTCAAAATTTTCTTGTGGGAAATCCCCCTGAAACCCCAGCTTAACGAGGATACCCCTTCGCGCCTGCAACGCTTGGTTCGGGCCTTGTGGCCCTCATGATTGCCTGCTACTTATAATTTTCTTCCTCTTATTCAAAAACTTATTGCGAACACTGCATGTCACAATGTATATGTCTGCACAATCAAAACAAATTAAATATGGATGATACAATGTACGAAAACATATGACACAGGCATGACAGAGATAAAGGTTCAAGCACAAAGAAGGAAAAAATCAAAAAAAGTAATAATGTATAAAATCATGAATGGGCTAGTCCACATAGATGCCTCTGATCACAGGAGTTTGAAATCTTAGCAATAACGGTGTATAAATATGCCAAACTCGACTATCACAGTAGAGCTTCACTCAAAGAGATCTAGAGAAGCGAGAAGCTCTACTGTGATAGTCGAGTTTGGCATATTTATACACCGTTATTGCTAAGATTTCAAACTCCTGTGCTCTGATAGACTACCTTAGTTTGACCAAAAGTGGCAGAATAATCAGAAATGATTGCGGCCTTATGATGTCATTGATGATTTGATCTGATTTGATTTTTGACGTTTTAAGTACCGCTTTCGGGCTATTTCCTGGCAGCCAGTTTTTATTGGTGGAGGAAGCAGGAGTGCCCGGAGAAAACCACTGACCTTCAATAGGAAAACTGACAATCCTAGTCAATTAAGGTTGCAGTCGAGTGCACCTGCACGAGCGGGGTTTCGAACTCACAACCTCAGTGTTGACTGGCTAGTGATTACAGTAGTAACTACTTAGACCACTCGGCCACCGAGGCCCCTGTCATTGATGATAACTTTGAACGCTTACTTTTGAAATGCATATAACATGTATAATTTAATTTGTGTGAATTTATAAAAAAAAAACTGACTAAAAGATGAAATTCCGTCCTCTAGGTAAACACACTTTTTTATGAATTAGGTTCATGGATATCTGGCGCCATCGGAAAGCTCTTCAGATTAAAATTTGTCTCGAGGAATATGAAAGTGAAAGAACCTTGATAATGGAAGGGAAGACATTCTTACATTAAGCTTAGTAAAATCTGTTTTCAAATAATTCTATATAGCGATTAAAGTGTTCCAACACCAAGGAATTTAAAATTTCTGTACATGTTCACACAACTTCGTTTTCCTAATTGAAGGGAAGTAACTCTACGTAAATACAAGCCATGGCACAAGTTCGGTTGTATTATTTCCGGAAAGGCAAATACATTTTTGCATAAAATATTTTATATATATAGGCTTTTACACTTTAAAGTATAAAATACTAGAAAATATTTTTATGCAAAAATGTATTTGTAAATTTAAAGCCTAGAAAATATTTTTATGCAAAAATGTATTTTTAAGTTTAAAGCCTAGAAAATATTTTTATCCAAACATGTATTGTCTTTCCGGAAATAATACAAATGATGTCTATTGCTTCCTTTAGTCTGTCACAATCCTTATGATATAGTTTGAAGAAAAAATGTTAGATTATGTTAAAATTTTAATACCTCACTAATTGGAAGTGAACGGATTTTTCTATATATTTATTGACTATATTAAAGTTAGAAGCCTGATTAAATTTGGAAAGCAATAACAGTTATCACCCACCTTTATTTCATTGCGTTCAGAATAGGTTTTATGCATGCGTATGGGTGGATGAGAGATTAACTTTGTGCGTGAGAGATTGAGTGGGTGAGAGATAAAAAGGGTGAGAGATAGAGAGGGTGGGAAATTGAGTGGGTGAGAGTTGAGAGATTGAGAGAGATTGCGTGGGTGAGAGATAGAAAGAGATGGAGTGAGTGAGAGAAAGAGATATATAGAGTGAGTGAGTGAGAGAATTAGTGGGTGAGAGATTGAGTGGGTGAGAGATAGAGAAGGTGATAGATTGAGTGGGTGACAGATTGATTGCGTGATTGAGATGACTGGATAAAAGAGATTGGGTGGGTGAGAAAGATGACTGGGTGAAAGAGATTTAGGGAATTGAGTGGTAGGAGAGATGACTGGGTGAGTGAGAGAAAGTGTAGATTGAGACGATGAGAGATAGAGAGAGATTGAATGGTTGAGAGATTGACTGGGTGAGTGTGAGAGATTGAGAGAGATTGAGTGGTGAGTGATTGATTGGGTGAGAGTTTGATTGGACGAGAGATTGACTGGGTGAGTGAGATATTGAGAGAGATTGAGCGGATGAGAGAGATAACTTGGTGAGAGAGATTGAGTGAGTGAGAGAGATAACTGGATGAAAAAGAGATTTGAATAAGTGATAGAGAGATTGACTGAGTGAGGGAGAGGTCGAATGATGAGAGATATATTGACCGAGTGAGATTTACTGAGTAAGAGTTAAAGAGATAGTTACTAGGTAAGAGTGACTGGATGTGTGAGAGAGTAGACCGGGCGTGTGAGACAGTAGACTGAGAGATTGAAATAGTAACTGTTGTTTGAGACGGTGTCTGTGTGTGTCAGAGAGTGACTGGACAGAGTTAGTCGGTGTGTGAGAGAACGACTGATTGAGCGCCTGAGTGACTGGATAAGAGAGATTGGGTGTGGATTAGTGGGTGAGGTTAACACTGACTGATTGAGTGTAAAATTTTGACTGACTAACTGACTGAGACACTGATTGACTATAATTGGATGAGTGAATGAGTGAGACAGACTGAGAGAAACACCGAGAAAGAGACAGAGAAAGACACCGAGAAAGAGACTGAGCGTGAGAGAGCAACTAAGGAATAGAGAATGAGAGTAGAGAGAGAGAGTGAAAGAAAGATTGTAAGTGTGGAGAGACAAAGATAGAGAGAAAGAACGATAAACTGTCTGAATTTGTCGACGATAGACCTCAGATCTCTGTGAGCAAAGACATGTTTTTCCTTCAATTGCAAAAGAGGTTTCTCTCATACAAACATGAATGTTTTCCCTTGTTCATTAGAGATAAAAAAAAAGTCGTTTCACATAACACCAACACAACAATTTTGTGTGCCCACAAAATTCATGAAATGGACATGGAATCAAGGATCATGCATTAACCCGTCATGTGGTATTGAGTGCAATATGATGCCTTCAAACACTTTAAAAATCAATTTTGCAGGATGCACAGTTTCTCATTTTTTGTTTCCGTATTTTTATATTGAAAAAAAAAGAAGAAAAACATAAAATCTAGAAATGTTTTTCATTTTCCCCTTATATTCGGTAACATGATATATTCATTATTTCCTACCTTCGAAATTTGCAAGCTGATAATCGGAATTTACTGCAACAGTTACCATCACCGGAAGAAACGCTTAGAACCAAAATGCATTTCTGATACGATGCATTATGTGAAAAATAGTAATTTTCAACCCAGTAAAATATTGTTTTTCAAGACTTCACAAGAGGGATGTGCTTTTTCACAAAAACTGATGAAATAGAATTATGAGGAAGAACGACTAAAATCGACACAACAGAAGTTTTCTGGTCACCATCACGAATTTGCATTGGTTGACCGGTACGACATGTCTTTAGTCTCATGTCACTAGCGACATGTTATCGTGGTCTTAGATCTTTAGATACCAGATTAGTCGTCTGATCTGTGATTTTACCGATTGTGTCATATTCTCGATTGTGACATTTCGACTGAGAGTGGAATTCGTTGCGGCTGATGCATGCATAGCCGGAGACGCGTACCCTGTCGATGAACCCGGCGTCGCTCCTTTTGTAGTTCATACGATTCCCCTGTTTTACTTTGTTTCCTTGATTAGTATCTTCTTAATCGCTTAATGAAATTTGAGTATCGGTTAATACCTGTTTCCTAAAATGATCTCAGACGTGAAATTAAAAAAAACTATACATCAAAATATTTGATCTTTTTTTAAAAGGTTAGATTTTTTTTTCATTTACAGTTTCATATAACAAATGTATGAAGTAATATTATGAATTAAAGAAGGAAGATACTCACGAGGAAAAAACTACATAAACTTATAAATATGGTATGACTAAAGTATTTTTAACCAAGGAAATCAAACAAATCACGTGATTGTGTGTTAAATGCCTTCTACAATATTTATTCAATTTAAATGACCTAGTTGTAATTTTTAAAAGTCTAAAACAGTACTGTACTGTTGTAAGTTTCCAAATGTTTCGCATCGGGCAATTGTTTACATTGGTTTGCCAAATGATTGTCAAATGAAAATACGCTAAACATGATACGACATATCCTTTTTTAAACATGTATTAAACATATATTTACATAATATGTATGTATGAGTCTTATTTATTCGTAAATGTCTATATGTAATTTAAAAATTAGAGTTTCTTTCACTGCTGAGGTGCTGTATATATGTTTAAACCAGATAACAACCCACCGGAAGCTTGCTTATGTAAACAAATCGAATAACTGAAAACTTGGACACAAAGAACTTTTTTTAAAATGATTGTCTACGGTATTCAACTTACCAAACATTCAGTGGGTATATTTTTTTGAGTAGTACGTGAATTATGAAAGGTTTAGTTATTACCAATTGTTGTCATAATCGAAATTACATTATTGCTTATACATGTTACACAATGGCGTCTAGAACTAACAAAAACGTTAATTGAAATTGAGCTCCTGCAACAACTAAGCTGTAATTGTTTTTGATATTACGAAAGGACGATGATCCACTGTTTACCAATACCCAGGAGATCGATGTCCTGGATTTCACTCAATAGCTTGTTGGGACAAGAAGCAACTGCCAAAACAAAGCGTTCACTTTTAAAGCAAGACATACAGATTGTAACGCGCCTCGGTATCTACTACGATATGATCAATGTCACGGTTGTTGGATTGAACTTTTCTGAGTGTTTCAAAATGTTTGAATGAACAGTTTCTTAACCAGTGCATTATACTTGAATGTATTGCTTATATATTGATTGAACATTCTCTGTAGACATAACAACATAGACAAAATGTAGTACATTTTTAGAAATTCCAGTGTCATCCTTGACATACACAGGCATTCGTTTAGATAGTTTCGGGTTCTTGTTGGTTTCATTTTTGCATCATTGCTTTTAATAATTTTTATTTTGCTTTGCACAGGTCTTCCCTTCCTTTTTATGACGTCGTTGTTCTATATCTTCTACAGTAACGATGGGGCAAACTTCATCAATAGTTAGTACATGTATATCATTTCATAATGTGTTTTTGTTATTTGGAGGGTTTTAATTGCATCTCTTTGATTGCAATAGTGAAATGTACTCCCCACATTTATGCACCCAAAGGAATGAAGAGCTTGACATATTGCATAGGCACTTGTATATTAACGAAACCACTGTGTCGCCTTCTGTTAGCTATTGGTTATTTTTGTTGTTTGGTTGAGGTCTAATTAAATTTTATCCTTTATCACCTTTTGTACTTGCATGAAAATCCACATTTTTTATTACACTATTCGTTTTTAGATAAATAAAAGCCTCAATTGATCAGTCACGGTACTGAACGTGATGAAGCAGAACTTGAAGAACACACAGTAAAGTAAACACATTACAGATGGCTGCTATCTCCAGAGAAGAATCAAATTATATAAAAATAGCACTTTTAGTGCTCAGAATATCTCCACCAGCAGTTCGTGTGAAATTTGACATTGAATTCCACCCTGAACGTTTGCGAAAAACACTTGATGAAAATTTTCCTAAGTTACAAGCATTGCACCATAAAAAGAAGATAAACAAAGATCAATGGGATTTATTGTTTCCCTTAAGGGGAAAGGGTAAGACTAATTATGTGATAATTTTTCCTAATTCGTGGTATGCTATTAGTATTAGATTTCATGTGTAAATCAGGCCTCAATCTTGAAAATAATGCGTAGTTCCATTGTTTTATTTCATTCAAGGGATATTTTCCAAAATAACTGCAATAGTTTCTGTACTTCACTCTATAACAACTACATTTTTGTTCATTAAGGTAACAGGTACGTAAATGGGCAATCTCACGTGTTTTTATAAAATTTTGCCAGCCATTTGAAGATGTGGAACTGCATATGAATACCGATAAAATATATAAGTAACTTTTATACTTTCGAATATATAGCAAGTTGAATATTCTTTAGAAAGAAGTACAACTGTATAGGATGCACGTAAATATCGAAAAAAATATTGAAAAATTTGACTGAATTGCCTTTTTTTTAAAAACGTGTCCTAAGACTTTTCTTTATACTCGCAATTGCCACTAAAATTTCCGTTTTATTGATATGAAAGGTGAAGGGGGTCACCGAATTCGTTTTTCCTGTATAAATGATTCAAGTGTCTCTGTAATAACTAAAAACGTCGAAAAATAAGATTTCTCGCCACGACATCACGAAAATGTTTGCCTTTTCGGCGCTTTTACCACACTGTACAGAAGATTTAACTATTCTTACTCAAAGAACGAATTCGGTGACCCCCTGTAAACTTTATATCAATAAAAGAGAAATTTCAGTAACAATAACATATCATTTTAAAAGCAAATTCGTAGGAAAGGATTTCGAGAAATATTAATTTTAAGTCAAAATTGTTCTACACAGTTATCCTACTATTTTCCGGATATTTTATTTATTTACTCTATCTCAGAAAGTATAAACGTTATACATATAATTTTTTAGATGTTCATGTGCAATTCCTCATGCTTCAGCTATATGCAAAATTTCATAAAATTCCGCGAGACCATCCATTTACGTACCTGTTACCTAAATTAAGGTTTCAACAACGTATTTCATGACATTAAGTATATAATTAAAAATGCCCGTAGAAGGCTTCAAATTTTTATAAATGAGTGCAAAAAGGTTGTTAATATTCCCCAAAACATTGATAACTGATATCAATATTTTATCGAAAGAAATGACACGTATTGCCTTTTTCGAAATTAATTTATCTCGTTCAGGACTGTCCTTAGACGAACATTTTATAAACACCTTTAACAGCAAATTATAGCAATGAATAACGTTTTGATTTTAAAATTATTATCAGAAACTTGTTTAAAAATGTAAAATGTTTTTTTAGTTTCTGTTATATTCATAGGACAATATATTTTGTTATCTGAGATTTATCATTTTAAATAAAAAATGTTGGCTCTTGGTTTTCCCTATATCGTTAACATGAATAGCCTTACCAAACGTTTTGTAAATTGTAGCTTGAGTTATTAAAATATTATATCAATTAATTGTTGTGGGCAGTGTTTTGAAAGATGGAGGACTATTTGAATGAATGGTTTTCATGGGTTTGTCAGGTTGGATGTATTTGTTTTACTATTAGAAATTACTTAATTTAAGGGAGGGGTATTAACTAATGACGAAAGCCATCTATGTATCTACTCTCAATAAGAACCTCTACTAGGAGTTGTCACTTCTACTTGTTTTGAAAGCTTTTTTTTTTTTATTTCACAGTGAATTATAGCAAAATATAGATATATTGGTGAATGTAAAGTTGACATAATCATATGGGCTTCAAATTTACAAAATACGTTTTTAAGGAACGTACAATCTTTATCACCTATTGTTGGTAATACATTTTTTTAATGTTTCTTTTATATGATAATATGTTATCAGAATTGATATCAACTGATCATTTCATCTAACAATAGATAAATATAAAGAAACATTATTGCAACTATTCACATGTTGTAATGAACTTTGGATAATTATCCTATATATCCAACAGCACTTATTTTAAACATAACACCTGATTACAATACAATGTTATCTTACCTGACGTCTTTTGTAATAGTTACTCAGTACTCAGAAAAAAGCATGTACTATTTCAAACTATTTGATTCGACGAATATTTTGTAATATGTGCTAGCACTCATTTACAATTTTATCTATGTGTGAATATAGACCACTCAATTGACTGAACATTTTTGTTAGTTCAGAAAGTACATTCATATACAAATATGCGTTTTAAATTAGTGTTTTCATTTCATTTATTTGGTAAACACTGAGTATATTTATATTTATTATAATTCCAGGCGAAATTTCGTCCCAAAATTTTGACATAACTTTAATGATGTTTCTGATCAGAAACTTAACAGAAATAACGATTAGCAGCATACTTCCACTGCCGTTCCAAATAGGTCTTAGTGATGATTTAACAAGGATACATTTCTATAGAAATAAAATTGCTCATGTTGAAGATGCGACGATAAGTGATACAGATTTCAGTAAATATTGGGATGATATAACAGAGGTAACATAATTGAATGTCGCATAAAATGACTAGAAATTCCACATCTAATTTTTACATTTTTATAGGGAAATTTTATTGATCTGTTATTTAAAGTCATATGATACTTCAAATTTAACTAAAAAGTTGAATATTTGTTACATACTTAAAGGGCTAAGTTTTACTATAAAACACGTATACATGTACACTTTCCTTTAAAAAACATCCTTTATTTTACACAATCTTAAAAGAATACTGCGATCGAATTATTGTCTTCCCGTTCTCATATCGCATATAAAAGAGACCTCCCATTTAACAATTGCACAGCACAAGTGCAACGGGAAATGCCGCGATGAAAGAAAAAGGTGAACAAACTTGGAAATAAGATATACTATTTATCGATTCTGATGAAACAATTTAATACCCCATATCATTTTACAACTGTAAAGAAAAAGTTTGATTAACTAACGAGAACGCATGAACAATATAAAAAACCAAATAAACATCGCTCTATCATCCCATTTAGTTTTCACGTAATGCTGCGTTGATTCATCATCAAGGTCTCGATCGGTAAACTTCGGCACAAAAACCCGAAACATGATTAGCAGCTATAATTTTTGATCATCAATCAATACATGAAATATATTTTGCCAATTATACGTTACAGATTCGTAATTTATATATTTATCGTACACAGGACTAAGTTTGATATGTATGCATGCATTGGTTTAATAATTTTCTTAACATTATAATCACCAGAAACTCGTTTCATATGGCTTTTACAGGACAAATATCCTCAAGCATATATGTTTTGCACGTCATGTATGATTTACTTATAAGGAACATTACATTATCTGTTCGTGTTCCTTTAATACGCACAGTTTAACTAGTGCCACCAGCAGATCAGGAACTGCTTACTTTTCCGGAGCACATGAGATCTCCCCAGGTTTTGGTGAGATTTGTGTTGCTCAGTCTTCAGTTTTTTGTAGACTTTATTGTTTTTTCGTCGACTTTCGCGGTTTTTGCCATGACATTGTCAGTTTCTTTTTGACTTGTGAGTTTTGAATGACGCCTTGGTTTCACCGCTGCAGGATTTAATTACAAAATGTAGTTATATGCTACATAACTCAAATATATAGTCGTTTTTAAGAATAAACGAATCGACTTTTCACAAGTTTTACGGTCACCATCACGGGTTGGGTTTTAAAATTGTCGAAAGAATAAGTGTACATCGCTTTATTAGATATATTTTTTTCTTTATCAATAGGCTATTATTCGACTGGGAGGGGAAGTGTTAAGAGAAAGGTGTTCAGAATTGCAAGAACAAATATTCAACGTTGATGAAAGTGAGAACCATCTTAGACAATTACAAGTAGAATTGAGATTAACAGCAGTAGAAAACAAAGTTATGGAATTAACAGATAAAATGAGTTACATTGAGGAGGAACAGAAAGACCCTATTCCAAAGAACATAAGAGGTAAATACCAGATCCAGACTGTCCCTCTTGCTTAACTTGGATACATTTGTCACACGACGAACCACTTACTACTTAACTTTTGTCGAATAGTATCAGTCTCCGAAAAAGGTTTTGGTCACTACGGTGCCAAACTTTGGAAAAGTGAAACATTGATAATTTCCTTTAGATTAATGACTGCAGCTGCCATACATAATGGGTATCCTAGGAACGAAAAGAGAAAGAAGATACCAATGGAAATATCTTAGATGTCCCCTCTCCCCCCACAAAACCCAACAACAACACAAATTAAAACGCTAAAAGACAAGGAACGATAACAAAACATTACACAGTAAATTAAATATTGAGGAAACCGAACTACACCATAACCAGGAGGTGAACTGATGCCGTAAGTTTTTTCGTTGGAATTGTTTAACATTTGTCATGCAGGGACCTTTATTATCTTGCTTAAAAGTTATTTTGCAGGTAATGTGAATTATTTTTGTGTCATTTTTGTCGGTGTGCCAACTTGTTGCATTATTCCGGCTTAGAGTTTTCCTTAATTTTGTTATGTATTGTCCATAAAAAAGAGTGAATTTCATGAATCACAGTACAAATCAGCTAATTTGTATAATAATCAATCTTCTTTAAATTTCTTTTACATTTTAGATCTAATAAAAAAACAGATAGAAGGATGGAAAAGTAAAGATAACTTTTTTTTCATCAAAACAAAAAGAAGTGAATATGCGTTACAACGTGTGGTTGAAAACAGTTGTGTTGTTTTAACAGGAGGGCCTGGGGTTGGAAAAACATTTATCGCCCGACATATAGCTCTCATGCTCGAGCAAAAGGGCTATAGAATAATCCCAGTGTTGACACCGAAAGACATAAGGAAGTTCTATCAACAGGGAAAAAAGTCAATTTTTATAATAGATGATATGTGTGGTACGTACACGGCAAACCAACGGGAGATGGAGAACTGGCAACAACTTTCACCGGTAATTAAGACAATTCTAGAAGACGAATCTTGTAAAATTATTCTTTCATGTAGGTTGCAAGTCTATTTAGATGAAAGATTTAAACTTCTGTCTCCTTTTCAGGACTGTGAATGCAATTTAATGGCAAAGAGTTTAAGAAAAAAAGAAATAAAGCAAATGATAGAAAGATATAATATAAGTACAAAGGTATTAAGCATGGAATCACGTAAATATGAATGCTTTCCTTTGTTATGTTCATTACATCATGAAAGTGAAAGAGTGGATACTATGGAATTTTTCCAAAACCCTTTTGAAATCTATAAAACTGAATTAAATAATTTGGGTAAATCAAGTTTTGATGGGAAATATAGACTATGTGGGCTTGCCTTATGTGTTCTCTTAAATAACAACATTAATGAAAAGTGGTTTCAAAGTAAAGTTGCACATGACGAAGAAAAAATGCTTGAAGATGCATATGGGGCTTGTGGATTAAACAGAGGCACCTCAAAGGCGTTGATAGGGGAAGCATTTAGTTCCCTCGAGGGAACATACGTATGCAAACAAAATGGCATTTATACAACCTTACATGACAAATTATTTGACTTTTTAGTTTATTACTTTGGTCAGAAAATGCTTCAGTGTTTAATTGAACATGGCGATAGTAATTTAATACGTGAACGCTTTAGATGGCGAAGGTCAACTGAAAACATTGGAAGAGGTATCGAATTCATTACAGAAATACCAGATCACTCATTACAGATGTTTTTGGACAGACTTATCAAAGACTGGTCAGAAGGAAGAGTAAGTATTGTGTTTTATAACAATAATTTAAAAAATAAATACTTCAGAGAAAAAATTCTACAGTATCTAGAACAACTTGACAAGACCGACCAGGTAAAATTGGCCAACACAATGGATACAATGTATCCAAAAGGGGATAGCTGTGCAGGTAACTATCCAATAATAGACGTATGTTATCAAGGCTATACTGATTTACTTCAGTGGCTTCTACATAATGATGTGAATGTGAATCAAAGAAGAGAAGATGGTGTAACTCCACTCATTATGGCATCAGCGTATGGTTACTTAGATATTGTGACCATGTTGTTGAGACATAACCCAGATGCCAATCTCTATAATGTGAATAAAGTAACTGCTCTGTATATGGCTTGTCAGAACAACCACCTTTTTGTTGTAGAAGAACTACTGAAAATTGAGATTAACGTCGATTTGTGTGATGAACAAAATCAGTCTCCGCTGTTCGTTGCATGTCGTAGCGGTTGGAACGCTACTGTAAAAAAATTATTACAGAAAAGCCCAAACGTTAATCAAGAAAGCAAAGCTGGGTCAAATCCACTGCAAATTGCATGCTTATTTGGCCATACTGATGTTGTTACCCTCTTGTTGACGTCAAAGAATGTTGATATTAACATAAATACAAGTGATTTGAGTGGCTATACGCCTCTTATCAATGCATGTTTTAGAAATTTCACAGAAATCACTTCTCTATTAATAAACGCTAAAGCAGATGTTGATATCCAAACAACGAACGGCGCTACTGCATTGTGTTTGGCAGTAGGATATAATAACCTTGAAACAACTGAGTTACTGTTGAAAAATAATGCCTCTTGGCAGATTGGTTTTAGAAACAGACAACAAATGATTGATGCAATGCCAAAACATCCGGACATAACATTAGATAGTGTTAAGGACGAAATTCGAAATTTTGTTGTCAAGAACGCTTCCCAAAAAGTCACAGATTATGTCAATAAGCAGTCAGGAGACTACATATTTAATGCTATAGCCGGTTCATCACCATTGCATATCGCTTCTTTTATGGGCCACACAAACATAGTCTCCTGTCTTCTGAATTTCGATGCCTATGTCGATTTTGCAAAAGAAGATGGCACAACCCCTTTATTTTATGCATGTGAATTAGGACACGACGATATTGTACGTTTATTGTTAAATAACGGGGCAGAGGCTAATATTCGAAGACTGGATACGAGATCACCATTGGATGTTGCAGAATATAATGGACATCGGTCTGTAGTGACCATGTTGAGGGAACAGGGAGTAGATTGATACGTTTTGAGCAAAAGGATTAAAACCGTATGAAACGAGTCAGGAACGTCGTCGATGGTTGTCTTTTTTTATACTTTAATGCTTTATCATTTTGGAAAATTTGTTTATGGTCGACTTTTTTTATAGTTTCTTTTACCTTCATTCATCGCGTTTTTAGACACAGAGTGATTTAGAGAGTGACATTGTTTATGAGCTTGTAAACTGTTGAAGTCCGTATGTTGGACTAAAGACGGAGTTTTTGTGTCGTTAGTTTAACCATGCTTAACTATACCAAATTGAACGTATCAGAATTGTGTTTTTCGGTCTTTTAGATATCAAAATAGTAACAAAGGGATACTATAAGTGTTGATCTAAATATGGTTGTCAATTTTCTTTGCATTATTCTTTTAATTGTTACACTGGTAAATCTTAAAACATATCAGAGAATAAGCAAAATAATTGTGGTTATTCACTAAGTCTTTGGAGTTATTAGTTTTGAAAACAGTGTTTAACCTTTTTCATGCTTACCAAGGTCACCGTTATAACACATCCTCAATTTTTCTGCAGGACGAGAAATGCCTAGGTGATTATATTTAAGTATCTTACGCAACCCTTAAATTCCAAAATCTTGATGTTAATGTTGTTTTGCGTGGGTGTGTGTTTCTGTTCATCAGTGTTCCTGTTGTTCATTTGTTTTCATCTGATAGTTGATGTGATTCCCTTGGTTTTTGTTTGTAACCCGGATTTGTTTTCTCTCAATCGATTTATGACTTTTGAACACCGGTATACTACTGTTGCCTTTATTCACTCATTTATTTAGACATATTCACTCTTTTATTTAGACATATTCGCTCTTTTATTTAGACATCTTCGTTACCATCGATATATATATATAGAAAAGTGATGTGTGTCTGTGTTTGTGTTTTACACTTAAATGCTACAACTACTTTACTATAGCAAATGTCATATGTTTTTACCTTCAAATGTTAACTTGGCATTATATATTGAATTATAAATTGTTCAGTTCATTGATGTTGAAGAACCTTTGATTGTTTATCATAAATTGTATATATTTAATTCATATATCTCAATGTCTTCTAGTTGATTTTATCGAATATACTGATCGTACATTATATACAAGTTCTGAATAAAAAAATTAATAAGTATGTAAATAATTTGTGTAACAAGTATCTCTTATATGTGAATCTTAGATATACTCTTCCTCGTCCTTATATTTCAAAATGAATTCAGGCTGGCTTTTCTATATTCTAGAGTTGTATGCCTTCAAATCACATTTATGGTCAGGCAAAGAATGAGACGCTAACCCTGCCAACACATACGGTATTGCACCATTTGGAATTCATGCGATCGAAAACTCTTAACGTCACCAGTGTCTGATTAGAAAGTTGATGAACCAGGCTTATGTCAAGGAACGTCTCGTCCTTTTTCTAAAAAAAGTTCATCGAAGGATACATAGACTTTGTTGATAAATATTCCGTATCAACTTCACAAATAATACATGATGGTCTTGAAGTATAGATTCTAGGTACTGACGTTGTTTATCATCTTAATTATGTGCTATAGTGTTCTTTTAATTGTCTTTGTAAATTATTAATCTTTACTGTTTGGTCCATTTTTGGTAATATCCTGTTGGCGTGGCTCGGTACTTATACAACCCGCCATTGTGTTACTGTGCTATGGTCATTTTTTTAGTATTCATTTTCATTTTTTCATTTTTGCTTGTGTGCTTTGTCTATATGACTTTTTGTTTTACTTTGTTGAAATAATTATTTGTTTTTATAGTAATTAAGATTATAACACAATGTTGACGGCTGTACCCCTATTTTTGACATTTTTACCTATTATGTCTGTTTGTTTTGTTAACACATTGTTGTCATTATAATGGAATTTTATACGACTGTCATACAATTGAGAGGTTTAGCTAGCTAAAAAACCGAAATGCCTGTACCAAGTCAAGAATATGACAGTCGATTTCCATTCGTTTGATGTGTATGAGCTTTTGATTTTGCCATTTGATTAGGGAATTTCCGTTTTGAATTTTCCTTGGAGGTCGGTATTTTTGTAATTTTACTTCTTAAGTAAGAATAAGCAATACCATTAATCTTAAGATCTATATAGTCTTTTAGGGTATGTTGACATGTTTTGCTGCTGTATAAGGACACAAACGGTATGTTTGCAGATCAGACGACTATTCTTGTGCTTTAAGATTAAGACCGCTAAAGCATTCTATCGTGATTGTATCTGTTAGACTTGTGTAGTATCGACTTCTGTGATTCCTATTAATATCCCTGCTGCGGGATTGTTATCGCCTCTCTCCTTTGGATAACATGATAAACATTACAAAAGTAGAACAAATACCTTTTGTAGATGAAATCCATAGCCTTAAAGTAAATATGAGTATTGGAATAATCGCTGTTTATACCCCCGCTTTAAAAAAGTGGGGGTATAATGTTTTACTTCTGTCTGTTGATCCATCCGTCCGTCAGTCCATCCATCCGTTCATCCGTCAGTCCGTCCGTCCGTCCCATGAATATTTTCGTCGCATCTTTCTCAGGAACTACATAACAAGGATTTCTGAAATTTGGTTTGAGGGTTTATGTAAGTCAGCTGTACCGTGTGATGCGTTTTCAGATTCATCACTCAACAACTTCCTGTTTACCGAAATATTTGGGCGGGGGTATCATCAGTGAGCAGTAGCTCGCAGTTTCACTTGTATATAAAAATGATGTATAATGACAACATATAGATTTCTTTAAAGATGTACTCTCGAGTCCTTAACTTGAAATACTGCTGCATATACATTTATGCATTTATTTCTAAAAGCTAGCCATCTCATAGCTGCTTCTGGAAGAATTAAACTACAATGCAAAGAAGATTTTCATATTTTATCCAAACGTAATGAATGTACTGTTTAAAAGAGAAACAAAAATCATGTACATCTCCCAAACTTATTTATCCTCTGAAACTATATTCAAAACAATCAGGTCTCTGATAAAACGTCGAATTCATAAGTTGAATAACTGTGTGAATGATTTACCAAAGTCCGTTTTCAGAGATATAGAAGCTGTGAAATGTCTATCATCTCTTCACGATAAATGTGTTGTTGTTTCTGCGGACAAAGCTTCAAATAATATTGTTTTTGTATGTAAATCGTATTATTACAAGTGTCTTGTAAAAGAATTAGTAATAAATGAGCACACAGGTAATCTCACAGGTAATCGCACATACAAAAATATATTATTTGACACGAATGATGTTTGCGAATCATAAGTCCTTCATGGCTTCAATGAACATTACCTTTAACAGCAAATCTGAGGACTTACCTTGTACGTATTGGATACCAAAGCATCACAAATTTCCGTACAAACAGCGGTACATTGCCGGCTCATCTGGATGTTCTACAGAGCAATTGTCCATTAGATTGACAAACATTTTGTCCGCAGTGAAAGAGGGTCTTCAGAAATACTGTGAAACTGGTAACTGGCGAAGTGGTATTAACCATATGTGGATTCTTAAAAACTCTGGATGCTTTTAAATCTCAATCTTTCTCTGAAATTTATTCTATCAAAACTTTTGATTTTTCAACCTTGTATACCACCATTCCCCATGTGAAATTGAAAAATCGTCAAAAAGAAATAATCCACAATGCTTTTCAATATAAAAATGTTAGCATACACTATAAATGTATTGCTTTGGGATACCATACGGCATATTTTGTTAATAGTGAACAAAAAGGTAAAACATGCTACACAGAGAAATAAGTGATTAGTATGCTGGAATTTCTTATTTACAACATATTTGTTGAATTTGGAGGTAGACTTTTTCAACAAATTGTCGGTATTCCTCTAGGAACGAACTGTGCGCCTCTCCTTGCCGACCTCGTCTTATTTTCATATGAGTAGGAGTTCCTTCAGACAATTGTCAAAAACAAGAAGATCAAAGAAGCCAGATCTTTAATTCCACATTCAGATATATTGATGATGTTCTTTCCATTAACAATCCTAACTTTTCTGATTGGGTTCCATTAATATCCTCCAGAACTAGAACTTAAGGAAACAACAGGCACGGCTTCCTCTGCCTCATTTAGACTTATACCTCAAATTTGACATAAGCGGTCATCCAAGTACCAGAATCTTTGACAAACGAGACGATTTTACTTTTGAAATTATAAATTTCTCCCACCTTAGCAGCAATATACCAACTCGCCTGCATATGGGATATATATTTCCCAACTCATTCGGTATTCAAGAGCTTGCAGCTGTAACTCAGACTTTATAAAATGTCACTAGAGTCTGAACAGAAAGTTGATGAACCAGGGTTATGTCAAAGAGTGTCTAGTCCTTTTTCGAAAAAAAAAATCATCGAAGGATACCAAGACCTTGTTGATAAATATTCCGTATCAACTTCACAAATAATACATAATAGTCTTGAAAAATAGACTATAGGTACTGACGTTGTTTATCATCTTAATTACGTGTTAAAGTGTTCTTTTTATTTGTCTTTTTATTTGTCTTTGTATATTTTTAATCTTTACTGTGTTTAGATAATTTTTGGTAATATCTTAATGACGTGGCTCGGTATTTAAACATCTTGCCATTGTGTTATTGTGCTATGGTCATATTTTGTATTCTTGTCTTTTATTTTTGCTAATGTACTTTGTCTATACAGTATCTTTATGCCATTTTGTTTTTTTTTGTTGAAATAGTTATTTGTTTTTGTAGTGATTAAGATTATAACACAATGTTGACTGCTTGTACCAAGTCAGGAATATAACAGTTGTTTTTCCTTTGTTTGATGTGTTTGAGCTTTTATTTTGCCATTTGACAAAAGGAGTTTCGTTTTGAATTTTCCTTGGATTTTTTGTTATTTTACTTTTTATTAGAAGCCGAGATGAAACGGTATGTGAAATGTTTTTCGTGAAGTTAAGGTAGCCAATACATAGTAGGGACCTTCAAATGTTCTGAGGAGGCCTTTAGTTGAGATGTGGTGTTGACATGATTATTTACTTTGGCTCTCGGTGGAGCCTTTATCACTGCATGTAGAAGAATTTATAATGTCATTCTTAAGAATATCCGTGTAGTATTTACGGCATACCACCCACAAATTTTGTCTTTATATATAATTTGTTTTTTTGAAATTTACATTTGTTAGAGATACATAAAGTACCGGTACCTTATCCCTGCCTCGTTAACGTTAGTATATAGCATTTCAGAGATAAGGTTAGTACTTGTTAGTACACAATATACAGTTCGGCTAATAAATAATATGCAACAGATTAAAAAGAGAGTAATATAATATGTTATACATTTAAGTTTAAGAAGATAAATTTTTTGCAACCAAATTGTGGCAATTTTCACATTCGCCTTCTTATTTGTCTTTTTTTTTTAAGTGAATACTATCTTTTGTTTTAAACCACCTGAATAGATAAACCCTAAGCAGTCCAGGGCAACTGACAGAGGGGTCCTTGCTTGTAATTTACATATTCCATTTGCCAGGGAAAATACAAACAAATGGGTGAAAAAAACTCTATATAATATATATTCAAGATTGCCTAACAATGTAATTTTAACACACTATTTAGTATGTAAATATTAGAATGATTAAAATATTTACAAAACGATAAAAATAAACGCAATATTTCGCTAGACAAACTAGCTTTATCAAGCGTTTATCTATCCAGGTGAAATCGGATGTAGATGATAAGAAACTTTTGCAGCTCAATGTACATGTTGCGCCTGAATTTAGCTGCCTTGTAAACAATACATAATGTGGATGAAGTTCAAGATTATATACAAAATTGGTGGTTGAAGTTTGCAACGTCCATTGGCCAATATAACAGGATAAAAAGGACGATGCTATGTATTAAATTATTCTTTATCTCTCCTGAATATATTCAATATATATAAAAGAACAGTATCTGTTTACAATTAGTTACTGTATTCTTCACACTTTGAAATCTTTCATTTTCATATAATTTTATCCTTTTAAGATACAATTATAAAAAATACATATAACTGTTATTTATGTTGTTTTCTAAATTATTTTCCCGGTTAAATGCCTGTTAAATATTGACATAGACGAAACACGTGCTTCAATCATTAGAATTTTCGACGAAGGATTATTTGTGAAATAAATGTATCTACATTATTGAAGAAACGCAGTCTGTGGTGAGTAAAATACTAGTACAAAAAAGTAATACAATTATATAGTATGTTATATAAATATGTATTTAATATAAACTATATAATTACTTATATAAATAATGGGGATTGTTTGTAAATGAAGTAGTAAACACTATTCTAGTTCAAAGAGTGCTTTTTGTATTCAAATGATAAATATAACTATAATACCGAGGCATATGTTATTTCATAAATATATATGTATATCTGTATAATGAGCAAACACTAAACAAATGATAAGCAAATTCCATAATTGATAGTGATTACAATATTTGAGATAAACGGTCCAGATTGTCTTTTCCGAATAAGTTCTTTTTGTTTGATTTAGCGATCATTTTGATAAAATCATTCATATTTTTCTTAAAAATACGGAGGATAGATATTTCATTAGATACTGTTTTGTTGAATACTACATTTTCCCGTTAACACTATCAAATTTCCAATATTTATCTGCTTTTTATCAAGATTATATCCAATAATCATGTTTAGGACATCAAAGTTAAGCGTTATATCTATGCACATAGATTGCAATCTTTTTACTTCATCAATGGTCTTTTGAATTTTATAACAATAAGAGAATAGATGTTCTTGGGTTTTCAAAAAAATTACCACATAAGTTACATAGGCCATTGGACTTTCGCATTTGGTACAATTTAAATTCAGTATAATGAATATTATGTAGTGATTTCCATTGAAATTGGAATATATTGTTGTGTAGCTTTTTCCAAACTGATTGCCAGTCTAGTTCCGTATGAAATGTTCTATTCCATTTTATTTCACATTTTGCACTAGTACATTTATTTAGTATTGTTTGTAATGATTTTAATTGATTTTTTTCTGGGGGTATAAATTTTCTTTTCATATATTTTGTTATTCTGGAATTTTACGTGCTTCAAATGTATTGGATTTCTAATGGCGCTTCTAAGTTCGTTACTCCAATCAGTGGGGATAGATTTCTTTATAAGATTGTATTCACATATCAAATTACGTTTATCTTTTAGTTTATTAAATACTATTTTATTACAATAAAAGGTTTCCGTTTCGATATTCCAAATATCTTTTATTTTGGCGATATGACTCTTGGTAAAGGAAGGGAAGAACTAAGGTTTCCTTTTCCAATTTATACTGTTGTTACCAAATATATTCTCTTCAAGAATACTTTGTTTTGAACGTTCGGTCATTTTACTGTAAAGTTCACACCATGCAGTAACCGCCTTTTTGGTAGAAATTTGACATATACTTAATATTAATTCCATATAGATCTTTACAAGTACATATAAAATATTCAATACCAAATTTGTTTTAAACCCATTCTTGGCTGCTTTGTCGCCCGGTATAAAAACAAAATGATCTGCGAGTACTAAAATTTTGTTTTTTTCATTCTAGAAATGGTTGTATTACTTACTCTGTAATTGATTTCCAAAATTATTTTCTGAATGTGATATGCGAATTTATTCAGACATATATTCAAATCGAGTCAAGTGACTTTTTGTCAGATTACTCCCGTTTACACCAATTTTTTAACAATAGGATGAAATGTTGGTCGTTTTTAAAAAAGTTAATAACCACTTGGTCTTGAAAGATGTAGTAATCTGTCATGTCATTCCACTAGAAATTTCTCACAGTAATTATTGTATATACCTAATTACCGATGTTGTAGTTGTCATGGGAATTATAAGCTCATGAAATATACATTTTTGATACAATAAAACTATAATATGAAAAATCATCAAAACAGAGCCTTTTCTCAAACCACAAAAAGTAAGGGGAATGATGAGAAACGGTATTTGGCCCTTGAAATTGCGGAAAAAGTTAACGTATTCTAGCCTTTCTAAATTATGTTCATTTTATTGATAGGTTTTAGATGAATAGGTGTATATAATGTAGATACTTTCATGCACAAAGGTCCGTTGTGATGTCACTATGACATCATAAACATGTCAAATTAAACAATTTGAATTCAAAAGGCCATTTCTCGCAGTGTTTGGTCAAATTATTTATGAGCGGCAGCTATATACACAAAGATATGTTACATATATTAACATTTTTGTTCAATACATTTTGAAGTAAAAAAATATTTGTGTAAAGTTCTGCTCAAATCTAAACATTAATGACAAGATATCAAAATGAGGATATTTTTGCAGTTTTTTTGCTGTTTTGTGCTAATTATAAGAAGTTTCAATAATAAAACTTCTGAAATATGTTATTTGGTACATTTATAATATTTTAGGATTATCAAATTCAATGGGCCAAAAAATGGCTTCATCATAAAATTTTAAAGTATACAGATATAATGAAGTAATATAAAAACCACACAAGCAGTCTTGTCGATGATCGGTGGTTCTCTCAAGGTACTCCGGCTTTCTTCAGTAAAAATGACCTCCATCATATAGCCAAGAGTGCTGAAAGTAGCGTTAATCACAAACAACCAATCAATTAATCAACCATACAAATATAAATAGATAATTCAAACATTCAACTTTTATCGTTTATTTCATTTTGTCAAAAGAGAGTTTTTCTATTTATTAAATAGAACTGGGTATCCACCCGATTGATCTTTGAAAAAAATATCATCTTTGTCGTTTTTTGTGTTGTTGGACTTTAATAGTTAAAAATCATTAACATCCCTGACTATGTATTAACATTCAAGTGATTGTTTTTTTACCTTCCAACACACACTGCCCCCCTTTACCCCCTTCCAAAAAACCAACATTGCAAGGTTTCATAAAAGCCTGGTCAGATCCAATTTTTTCTATTCATTTCTGTATTTTAATTTCCAAAATCATGGAATTTAATTTTTCTAATTGAAACATTTCAGTGCCTTGTGAGTGAAAGGTTGTTCCACCTAATCTCATACTTTGCACAGCAATCTAGTAATCAGTAAATCTGTGACTGAAATTTAAGTATATTTCCTATACATTTCTCCTTTGAATTTCAGTATAATATTTACAATTTAAAACTATATATTTAGATTACTCAATTGCCAGTTCACCTCATAACACCTGTTTTTGTAAAGGTATATATTTGTCGAATAAAATAGTAAAAAATTCATCTTGATAATTTTTACAATTTGATAAACGTCGGAAAACCAATCTAAATCCCCCATGTTAGTCTTTGGTGTTACTTCATTAAAACCTCATAATACACCATATTTGTTCTTCGATTTTGCTTAAGGTGTATCTTTTTTTTATCACTTAATCCACATACGTACGTGATAAAAACGAAATATGAAAATTAACTTTGCTCCTGGTTTTCCCCTGGATTTCAAATATTTACATATTGCATAAATCTAAAAATATACTTTTTATTATGTAAGAATGCAAAACAAATAACAGAACTTTATATGATAAAAATGTTTATGTTGTTGGCTATCATAATACATTTTCATGTAATCATGCTAGTTAAGTTGAGTATGAAATGGATTTCGTACCGATCGATTTTACCGTTTTATGATAGTGCAGAACAATAAGATATAAGCTACCACAAAATTAAAGAGGAGTGACATTGACTACTAGTAATTAAAAATTTTACACTTTAGTTCAGTGTTGAAAACATTTTTATGTTCCCCCTTAAAGGATAAGGTATGATAAGCCAATGTTTTTTCCCCCTATAT